TCGTTGACACCTGGGTGACATTCTCGGTACCACATCGGTCTAGTGTCACTGAGACTTGGGAACGCATTAAGGCCTCAGTTTGCTGCATCCTTATGGTTCGAGGTCTACTTTCGCAGCACCGTATGTGTCCTCCCGTGATGCTTTTTGTGTTATTGGCCCTGTTGCACAAAGAGGAGTTTATCAGCATGCAACTGAATCTGCTTTCTTCTATCATTTCTGCTGCTCCGGTGTAGGAAGTTTTGCCCCACAACTGCATTATTGTGTAGTTAACAAGCCTGTGAAAATTTTAAGCATTATAAAATAACAAGGCAGAGAAGTGAATGATGGAACCAAACTCCCCCACGACGAATTAACTAAGCAGACAATCAGGTTGAATTTTGACCTACAAGGGCCACAAGATAAGGGTTATCAAGGCACTTGGCGAAAAAAACTAATTTATACTTAGACACATCAGTCGACAATTCGCCAAAAGCTTCTGTTAAGGCTAAATCAGAGAAGAATCAGTTTATTAGGCATGTGTGGATAAAAGAAAGAATTCTTCACTGACTAATCAGTGACACCTGTACAAACTCTGGGAAGGTTAAGGACCCTAGGACCGTTGATGGCACAGTGGTTAGGACTCTCGTCGACCATGCACATGGTCCGGGGTTCGATCCCCTGCCGACGCACACCCGATATCTATGGTCGGCCTGCGAAATTCGGGCTACCGATATCCATGCTGAAAATTCCATACTTGTACTGAAAATACGGTGTGGCATCAAGCTGTAATCAAAAATAATTAAAAAAATAATCTATTTAAACATGCTAGACTGTGATTCAACTAGAATTGAGGTGCCTGGACTGTGATGGTTTCGAATTGCTGAGCGACAAGTCTAATACCATCATTGATGTTACCATAGAAATTGTGCACTGGGGTACAGCGTAATTCCATTGTGGGCAAAATTTATTTGGATAAATTCTTACAGCGTTATACATCAATATTTATAACATCTTACACCATCAGTCTGTTAATGCAGTGACTCATTCACCAAATGCACCTTGAAATTATGGTGATAAATATATTCTTTCTTTGGACAGTGAAGTTACATACCCTCTTCGGTTCAACACACAACCTTTGGTAACCTCATAATTCACTATCGGTTTCCTAAAATTACACAAATGAATGTTGATAATAATAAAACTAACCTTCAGTTCTGCTTTAGTTCTTTGGTGTGTGTAGTTTATAGCACGCCTATTTTGTCTTTGTTTGACCTCAGTAAGTGATTGGGTACACTTCAAATAAATACTTGAGTCTAATCCAAAGAAAATGTTGCCGGTTTTTTACTGGAAATAAATAGTTGTATGATAGATTGATAGTTGATAGAAATTATCCTAAGAGAATAGGGCCACTCTGTTCTGTTGTCACACACATTCTTAAGACACCAACGAAACCTAACTTATTATTGCTTCTTGGCTTTCTGAGCTAAGACAGTGTGAAGTATCAGTTCTGAAGTGTAATTTCTGCAATATTCTCTAAGCTGGGACCATAAAAGTTCCACTAGCCGAGTGACCAACGAGCTTGACACGTAACAGAATGGCCCTGGGTTTGAACCCCGGTGGGTGCACACAGACAAAGAATGAGACAAAACAGCCTTAAAAATTTGCTTAATGGTCGGTGATCGATTAGGTACAATCATCCGTAGAAAACGAAGCGAAATCTGGATTACCCCTTGATCCTGAGGGCTCATTCACAAATCAAAATTTATATGGCTTTTTTCTGATGGCTTGTGCTATAATTCATCTATTGAAACCATCGGAACAGTATCACTTATCTACAATTTACTATTTAGATTTATATGTCCGATCATGTCGTTAGAAATCCCGTGCTTACCATATAAATTTGCCTTTTCACAGGGAATATAAACGTATATATAATCAAAAGAATAATTTAATCATAATATGGCGCTTGAAGTTATAATGCATTGGGCAAGGAAGAGTAGATATTAATTTGGCGGAATACTTGTGAATGTCTGCACGGGATGCTTTATTTATCTGTTCCGTCACTGTGTCAACCTCTAGCTTCAAAAAGGCATCATTTGTCAAACCTTCACAGTCTGACAACTGTCATATGCCGTACGAATCATGATCTCATATCCGTATGTGAGGCGATTCGTTTTTGAACTGCAACACCTGTGTATTTACCAACGCTTCAACTGGCCATCTTCAGATCAGCGACAGGTTGTTTTGTGTGTCCGACTAAATCTATCATGTAACCTCTAACTGATTTGTAACAGCCTCGAATGTTTATTAATTCCCAAACAGACTCTTGGTTCTTAATGTTCCGAGCTCTAACGAACTCTTTTTCTTCGAACTACACACAACCGGAAAACAAACGGCAGGCCCGTATTGGAGAAACAATCAAAAACAGGTTGACAGTACTTCAACCATTCACTGATTGAAGTAACAAATTTGTTATCTTTTAGCCCACCGTCAGTTTTATTGGTAAACATTAAGTAGGACAGCAGATAGTCTTTTGAACTGCTGGTTTTAGGTATTTCCTATTTGCAGAGGCTATTCTCTACACAGAAGCAACACCACTGAAATGTTTTGCCTAGGTGGTATTCGAGGAGCAGCTGCAGAGGCTAACTAACCACGGAATGTCTTAGTTAACCTCAATAATGTTTTTTATTTACATTGTTGTTCTGGTTAGAATATTATACGTAATAATTCTTCGAATACACTTCAGTAAATTTTACTCAGAATTCTTCTTGAAATATGGAAAGCCAAGTGTACAACTCCACAGACTCTACTCATTGTCACCAGAATCACAGAAAGTCATTCCTAGAATCTATGTGTACCAGTGTCAGTGCACACTGATGAAGCGGACACTACCGGTTGAACTTTGCCAAATGCTTATCCACTGAAATGAACCAAGAGACACTTTCAGTTAGTCAATCACCAACATTACTTCAGGGAATATAAACTTAAAATTTTTTGCCTCAACTAGGCATGAAGTCGGTCATCGCTCTTAGACAAACTATTCCTTGAATATCTACGCCATAATTAAGCAACTGCCTGACTCATTAATCGGAGCTGGATTAACAGCATACTCGCAATGCTGAAGGACTGATGAATGGTTTACGTAGGTTAAAGGGATGCTAGTAAACTGCACAGCAAATTCATCACACTCTCTTTCTGCTGAACGAAACTAATGTGTTATATCGCATGCACTTCGAGTAGTAAAGATCACCAAGGAAGATGAGCAACACGAAACCACAAATTCCCCATAAATCTCAGTGAATGATGAGTTGCCTTTATTTGAAAATAACTTCAAATACCAAGACGATAATCTAAACAGCAATGTTCTACGCGTTTCAAAGGCCGATAATATGGCTCCATACTTAAGCTGTGAAAAAGCTCGAAGCTGGAATAAAATAAGCAGATAATGAATGATCTAAATTTATTCGCGGATGGAAACTACATCAGTTTCTCTCAAAGCACAGTAACTCTCCCACAACCAGGTTAATCGCTCCAAAAATTCCTAGCTCGTGGACCAGAAGCAACCTAAAATAGATATCCCGCCATCAAGTACGAACTGGCTTCCTCATGGCGATCCACAAAAGATAACTCACCAGAGAGCAAAGACTCGAGTGCGCTTCCATTTCTTTTCAATTCAGGTTTGCCGCCCTGGGATTCTCAAGTGGTATATGTGGCTACTGCATCGTCCATGGAAAGCATTAAAGTGGAGTTGGGACATCTATGCAGTGACACAAGGACTGCGTCCAGACGGCCTATTCCCTTAAAACTCACACACTGTTAATGTGTACACACCTAAATACACATTCATACTCTTCCACATTCTCCCTTGCCTTGCTGTTCTGACTTCTCCAAATATTATTTACCCTACAATATTGCTATTGATATACATATATATATATATCGATTTAAAATTTCATTAGCTGTCTATTTTTACGTCTTCTAAAGTCGACATAAACTTCGTTGATTATATCTGTTATCATTATAATTTCGCTTTCCGACCTCACAGAACGACGAACAGGTGAAAATATCGACTACACTCACGGTACCGATACGTTCTTAATACACCGTATACCACAAACCACATAAAATCAGTCCCAGCTCCACTTCATTTATAGTCCTCCAAAAGTACGACAGGCGAGTGGCAGAACGAACTACGCAGAAGTTTACCGAAGACCAGGGACATTTATCTTACAAATCTGATACTCACTAGTCCCATTCATATAGGAGGTTAACTGGGTTCCAATGGGAAGACGTGGCCAATGTGTACAGCAGGTCTGGTGTGATGACATTGACTAGTGGTCGCGCAATATCATGAATTTACAGAAGTGGTAATTCATGGGCCACTGCATTGCGTATGAGAGACTGAACGATCTACGAGCTCGCCTTGTAACTGGAAGGTCCTGGGTCCGACCCCCGGTGGGTGCGTACTGCTTAAGGGTTCAAGACTAGGATGAAACAGTTGTCCAGTACTTCTTGGTTTTCTGATGGTTCTCTATCTGATGTCTGCTCATGATGAAATCCTTTAACAAATAAATCAAACTGATTTATGCTAGCTCGCAAAAACGAAATGGGATATTGGAATTGAATATTGGTCTTTGTTTGGTTATTTTGGCACTATAGCAACAGGCTGGAACGTATTCAAACGACAGCATGTATGGTGAAAATCAGGAAGACATGAGCATTTTTAATACCGAAACACGTACCGACCCAACCATTTTAGAGAAAAAGGAATTTAAATTCAAATTACAGTAAACAAACCCAATATTTATCCAGCACTCATCTGTTAGGAATGAGCTTTATATTTCAGAGTCACTGATCGCAAAATTAATCAAAGAAAAAGATGAACTGTTGAGAGAACTTCCAAAATGTGGAGACACTGAACGTGAACACAATCATCCACTTTTCGAAAGCAGGCTGGAGTGTCTTCATTCTGAACTCCAACAAGCAGAGGAAGTCAAGAGAGATATAGAAAAACAACTAAACATTCTAGAGTAATTTCTTGCTCTATTTCCATATATTAAAGATATGATTTATCACATCTGCAGTTTGAAAGGTCTTTTAAGCCAATAGAATATCCCAGTGGAACCCCTCACTACTCAGAAACAACTAGAGATGCTTTACCTTGTCAGGAAAAGAAAGAATGTTCCAGGAGAGTTCGAGAAAAGCCTGACCCGAGGAAACAGTAATCCTTAAATATAGCTGTAAACACCTTTAGAAAGTGCGAAGTGTTGGCTGACAGTGGAAACAATTCAGAGAAAAAAGTAACATTTCCTGTGCCATCTTGCAGGTTAGCTACATAAAGTGTGAGTATAATACTAAAGGAGATCATTCAAAGTGCACAGAAGGCTGGATGAAGACTTGGAACTACGTATGAAATCAGCAGCAGAACTAAAAGCATCGGTAGATGATTCTAAGGCAAGTTGAAAATTTCCCGTTGAAATTTTCTTAGTAAGCTTTGAAACTGAGTTGTAATTGGTGTAAACCTACCAATAGTTAAACTTGAGAAAAATGTAACGAAGTAGTACGGACTAACTCTAGTACACTGAAATTTCATAAAATGTAAACTCAGGTTTTAAATAATGAGTGCAAACGCCATTGACTTTGATGATAGCCTTCTGGTTCTTGTTCCTGAAACTTATATATGTCATAAAAATGGACTATCTTATGTTGAGTTGGGCATTTTCCTCTTTTGCGACCAAAGAAACTTTAGGGAAAATCTCACACCAAATTAATTGCCTGAAGATCACGAAGACGTCAAATCTTTTGGCTTTTCCGGCAACAGCCCAATGATGTGACTGGTTTCGCTTACTTGACCATTTCAGAAGATAGTAGATTTCAGTTCTCAGCTTCATTATTCATCTAATGTGCTTTTAGTTGGACGTTGGCCGTTCTATTTGAAAGGCCTATAACATACAGTAAATTTTCCGTAAAATATCTTGAGCAAGGGTCAACAATAGCATGAGTGTGTTGAGTAGGGCTGCATTCATTTATTTTTTGATGGCTCCAGTCAACTTGAATTTGTCATGCAACAGTGGAATAAGTTTAGGAATATGTCTGAATTTACGAAATAAAATACTCAGATGGTAATAACGATTACATGTTTGTATACATGTGACGAAGGAATCAGTGATTTTACCACGGTATTGAACACATTCGTTGCGTATATTTCATCACTTGCCGGTATTTTTGGACATTCGTCAGAATTATCAGTAATGTTCCTATCTCAGTTAAGTTGGTTAGCTATATCTTGAATTCTATACATTTAAATATGAAGTGTATTCACTGAAACTGTTTGACCCAGACAGCTTTACTCAAGTTTGCTGGGCAGTAACCATATTTTTATAAATCTACTGAGCTTCTCTTCTCGGAACTATCATAGTTAATCGACACATAATTCATTTTGGCTGTGCGCCCACGTTTTTTCCGTTAATATCATGCGTCTTTTACTACCTGGCTGGAATATTATGAGACTTTTGACTTTCACTAGCTTACTCAAAAATTTTTAGCGTTGTGTATCCAGAGCACTGTATTGCTTTCATTTTACTGGTCTAAAAGCACATCAGTTGATTGCTCTCTGTAGTATAGAAGGTAAAGACAGAGTACTGGTCTTTTGGAAGACTCCTAAAATTTTGTCGCTACTCCCTAATTTAAAGCCTTTACTACAGATGCCTTATTAAATTAAAGATGATGGCTAAAATAGGATTAGGTTAGCAAAAGTGTACGCGTGAATGTTCATGCAGTCAGTGGCTTTCGCTCTCAGCCAAAAACGTTAGTGTATTTTGGCTAAATGCAGTTCTAGAAATATTAACAACCAGTAGTTAAAAACCCCGAATAGCGTATTAAAATCAGTAAATGGCGCAAGATTACTAACTATCAGTTACTGGGATTCCAAATGCCACAATTATTTCCTCGAAATAATCCGTTCAGTGGTATTTATTCTCTATTATAAACTGATGTTTTCCCGCATGTCGTCTTATACCATTAACAGGTATCCGTTACAAGCTCCTTTCCTTTTCAGCTGCAAATGTCTTCTTAAGCCCTAACTACAATGGGTACTTCATTTTGATACAAGTATATTCATAAATCACCAGAAAAATTCTTTCTAACAGTTACTGAAGGTTTCTGAAGTAATTATAATCACAAACGACGATAATTTATATTCAAATAAGTTGCAGTTAGTATTGACGGGTAAATAAAACAATAAGTAAAAAAAGTTAGATAGCCATTAACAACATGCATACACATTATACTTATTTGTATTACTTACCAGCACTCACGAAAATAGAATGACTGACGTTACATTTAAACATGTCAGCTAGCTGAAGCCAATCAGTAAAAATCAAATAAAGTAAACAAAACAGTTTGACTTTAGGAGCGAAACCAGGAATTCAGCAGTGATGAGATTTAGTATTTAGGTAAAACATCTAAGCAAGTGTAAAGTATACCTATACTAAGTGATTTAAGATGTAAATTACAGTGTTTCATATGCCTTATAATATCAAGTCCGACTGAAACTAGACTTTAGTCTTCGGGAAACAGTATTATGATTATTATGCATCCGTTACGCTGACAAACACCCCTGATAGATTAATAATCCGTGTTTATTCGAAATAAACGTAGTCAGTGCCTCTAAAAAATAAATGCAATTAGCATGTTATATCATTCATTCACTGGCTACTACTTATTTTTTAATTGCCTCTTTTCATATGGTGATTTTTCACAAGTTAATGCTGTTGTTTATCTCTTACTCACTTACTTTTTAAGAGGTCCCCAGTTTAGACCGACAGGCATGAATTTCAAAACTTTTTTTATGAAGTTATCATTTCATTCCAAATAAATGCTGCCTCACTGACTGTTTCTTATTGTTCTCTAAACAAAACGACCATTGAAAGACTCATGAAAATTTATGATGATAGAGTGTCTGTTAATTTAGCTTGTTTGGAAAACTATTGACAGTGACGTGGTCATCAAGATTGTTTCAGTTGGAGGATGGGAAAACAGTCATGACTGTAATATGGTTATTCTTCAGGGTGTAAAAATCACTGGATTAATGCAGATATAAAAAGTACGGTAGCCTATCAATAAACCGATTTAAGAATAAGCAGTAAATCGTGTTATCGTTGGATCAAGTGCAGACATAACATTTGCATGAATACCTTTACATGTAAAAGTAAATGTCTTCTTTTCAACTTTATCTGATTGTTGGAAGAAGATAAAAACATCCCATAGGGTCTATGGTAATACGTTTAAACATCAGATATCGCTTCAATCTAGTTGGTTACTTTGACTTTTACAAATTACTACGTATTACTCTGATAATCACAACTAATCTTATTATTACGAAAAGAAAACCTTAATATAGATACATTATAATTCTGACTACTTCAGATAATTATGGCTATTATTCAAGCTAAACAAAAGGCAAATCAGAACGCTATGTTGTTGGAAGAAAAAGCTTTGTCTATTCAAGCAGAACAGAATCAAAAGGATGAAAAGCTAGAGCTAGCACTACATCGACGAATAGCTAAAATTGAAGCTCACCAAGCGTAAGTTTATTTATGAAAATGAATATTAAAAATGCATTTTGTTTTATTTTAGTGGACTGTGACTGTTTAACTGTTCTTAATTATCAGACGACTCAATGAATAAATTCAGTAATTTGTAGAACAGAGACTCTAAATTATTAAGCTATAGAGGCATAAAACTTTCAACGAACAATATCTAGATAGGAAAATTCATTTTTCTAAATGTTTTACATTTACTGACATAGATATTTAACAACAAGTAATACTCATATAGTTTATAAAGGTGGATAATTATCTTCAGTAATAAAGAAAGCCATATATAGTCCACATTTACACAACTGGCGTGGCACAGTGATAGGATGCTTGCCAAACATGCATGTGATCCCGGGTTCGATCTCCAGCCGACGCACTCCCTTACCTCACTAAGTCAGTAATAAAACTGGTTAAAAGAGGGAAGGCTGAGCATTAGGCTAGTAACCCCATCCCGTAAAAATAAACACCACTGCTACCGAAACTTCAAGCCTCTAGCTTGAAGCCCTTTGTTCTACTGGGAAGGCAAAGGAATAAGAAATTGACGAAAAACAGTTTTCGAATCTCAAGTTGTAATAACTTTAAATATTTGAAGGTAAAATGAATACAAAAGTTATGTATGCTTGACTGTAAACTCGGTTAAAATATCTGTCAAAATCAACTCATGTGAGAAGAGTTTTCTTCGCGTTGGTTAGAAAATTACCAAAGATCAAGATTCACTGGTTAGTTCCTTTGTCTACTATGGAAGCACATAATAAAAGATACAGTAAGATGAAGCTTTACTCAGTGGTTTAATACTAATGTTTTCGTAAAAAATGTTGAACGGCTTGTACTAAAGCCTTCATTATTGACGTGAATATGCGTCGATGGAAAGAACACCCTTAAGGTTGAATAAGTCTTCAATGTTTTTATTCACTTTAATTATGGTAACCGCTTCCAGCGCAAAATTATCTGAAATCTCTAGTCTGTTTCTGTGGATACAAATAGTGAATGTGGTGCATGTTTTAAATTGTTTAATTATTATTACAGATACACCCATTTTGGGATCACCATTTCTTAAATGTTAATAGTAAACAATAGCACAAATTTCATTTTATTTCCTAATGTAAAATCAGTGGAAATGTAGGAAGAGAGACCGCTGAATGAATGAATTATTAGTGTATTGTTATTCTCTTAGGTTCCGAGTGGAACATAGTGTTTCAGCAACCCATCTCCACTTTCTTCTATTTTCTTCAGCCGGGTTCACGACTGACCATAATCTCTCATCTCCTCCTCGCACTACCTCTTCCATGTCACCCTCTCACCAACGATCCACTCGTCGCTTCCCACTCAGATTCCACTCCAGCGACTGCCTTCATCAAGCACGATGTCATTTGCCGGCCTCCTCAACGTATGTTCGATCCATTCATCTCCATTTTCTCCAACATATTTGTTGAGCAGTTGACTCTCGGTTGGTTTGTTCCACAACAGAGTTTCTTGTTACCAATTCTTTCTGGCCATTTGATCTTCAGTATGGAGCCAAGGAAAGCAGCTGTTGATAAAAGTCTGTAACTTGTTGGAATTGTTTTTCACGATGCACAGTGCATGTTTCTGACCCATATAGAAGAACTGATTTCACATTTGTGTCGAAAATCCGAATCTTGTTCTTTATGCTGGGGTGGATGGGATTTCTAAACTGATTTCACGTTGATGAAGGTGTATCTTGCCTTTCCGGTTCTGACCTGCTTTGACAACTTAATCCGTTACGCCTGTAACTGAAACGATGCTTCCTAGATAAGTGAAGGAGGTAACCTCTTTTACATCGCTCCCATTGATAGAGACTCGTGATGGTTGTTTATCTTCACAAAATCCGTCTCCTCTATGTTCACCTGCAGTCCTGTCTTCGTCGCCAGCCTCTTCAGCCAGTTCGTTTCTTTTTGCCTGAATTGAATAGATGTTATTAAGCTGCTTCAAATGTAAAACATTTTGTTAATTCAATCCTCATTTTCACCGATAACTATTATTAGTGAGAGCTCTAGCTTTGGTTTTAGAATCCCAATATCAGAAGCTCTTTATATTGAGGTTTGTACTTTCCAAAAATATAAAAATAACACATTCTGACGGTTTGATACTTGATACTTAATAGTGTACCAGAAATTTGTAAAACCACAGTTTTCATGTAATAACTTTGTTAAGGTGATTTACTATGATATAAATAAATTTGAATAAAGATTAATTTAAATTGTTTTACTCTCATTTAAAAAAAATGACCTTTTAGAGCATTTAAAGAATCACAAAAAAGGAAACACAAAGAAATTATAGCCAAATTGCTAAATGAAGAGTTATTACAACAAGAGAAATTGAAAAGATTACCATTCCTATGTGAACAAAGCGAAAGATATAAATACTTAAAGGTAAACAAATTTCAGTAATTGGTTGGAGGATTACATCATGAGCTGACATGGGTTAGAGGACCATTGGAAAACCTGGGAGTACTAGATAGCCGGCTGTTTCCTCCTAGTTCGGGACTCTTCAGTAGTACGCACCCATCGGGGTTCGAACCCAGGACCTTCCAGTTACAAGGCGAGCCCGTCGACCATTAGGCCCCTGGGACCCAATTCAATGGCCCGTGAATTCTAACTTCGAAACCAGATAGGTGCGTACTGCTGCATAATCTCAAACTAGGACGAAACGGTTGGCTATCCAGTACTCACAGGTGGTTTTCCAATGGTTCCCTAACCGATGTCAGCTCAAGATAAAATCCTTCAACCGATCAAACAAAATCCCTACAACCTAATGCTTGATTAAAATAAATTTCTCCTCATCTCAAAAATATTTAGTACTCTGAACGTAGTGAAAAACCATCTGAACTTGAACAAAATATGATTGATGAACTCTTATCACAACAACAGCAACAACAAGAAAAGAGTGGAACGGTGGCAAAGGTAAGTTAAAGTTTACATCATTTGTATAGACAGTTTAATGATGTAATTCTTATATGAAATCGCCTTAAATAAATTTTATAGTATAATTATAACATCAGCTTTATTCTTGAGCATTATAAGGAATTCTCAGAGCAACTGCTTGCAAAATAGTCACTCCATATATGAAACCTTCAGGTAAATATTCATTGACATTATAAGGTATGACACTGAGTTACTCTATTTGAAACAAGACTCATTTCTCCACGACATTTTCTTTCCTTAATCTTCTTATTGATGTATACAGTCGTAGGCTGAAAAGTGGTTGGAGATTTGCATGAATTCATTTGCAATCCAAGGGTTTAATTAGCAGGAAAAAAAGCAAGAAATGAAGAAAATTAGATGTATTATACTAGATGAAAACTTAGGTAGACCGGTAGTTTAAACAGATCCGTAGAATTGTAACAAATCATACTGCTTGAATAGTAGACTTTGTGATTTCATGTCTTTCTCATTGAACTTGTCAAGTGAATTCATTTTTTATGGTGTTTAAAATGAGTTTTTTTCACAAGAAATTATTTCCAAACGGGAATCCGTTGAGTAGTCTAATAGATATTACTTAGTGACGTAATGATAAGTTGGTGCAATTTCTAGTAGATAAACGTTGACATGTGACAAAGAGTTCAATGACTACTTTACTCCAACACAAAATAAAAACCAATAAATTTATCGAAAAACTTTCAGGATGGAATAGTGATTATAACCCATCTCTTGTTGAAACAATATATTCCATTTGATTAATTTCTGATGTCTTGCAAGAAACACTTTTCGTATTCAGCTAATATTTTTCTGCATGAATCATTTTGACTTTCTGTTGAATGTTTTAATGAAAATGTTTCAAGTGTCCAGTCAGTGTGTAACCACAGAAGACAAGGGCCAGGCAACAGATCGTTTATTGAGAAAATCAAGAGATATTTATAGATTTTTATGTACATTATTATTCATTATTTAAGCAGGGAAGCAACGTCTTCTGACTGGTTGTTTTCTTGCTGAAGGTTATTCTGTACTGCTTGTGACCGTTTCTTAGAAAGTTAAGCCATATATCTGCGAATCGTATTTGCACACGCTAAGTCTGCTGTGATTGGTTGGTGAGTTCCTCAAGGCTAGGCTTTGTTATTGTTTCTTCTCATGACCCCGATTCGTCCCAAATCGTAAACACTGACGTCAACTGTGGTCTACAATTTTGTCTTTCCATTTCGTTTTTACAAAATCTGATAAACCTTCAATAATTTAAAATAAAGTTTCTATTATAAGTGGATGAATTACTCCAAAATTCTGAGTAAAATCATATTAAACGTCTACAGTTTTGGAAATTTCCTTATTACTAACGGTTTCCGGAGTGCCTATACTCAAATGTACATTGTATGGAGTTTAGCGATGACATAATCTCCAACTACAAAGCAGGCATCCTCTTCAGTACATTTTCTTATAATGTCAACAGACTTGCCACTGAAATATTGTTGAGAGGTGTATCATTAGCATTATGACTCCAACATCACTTCCATATAGATATTCGTTATCTAAATCTCAAAATTTATGATCATTTGATTTATTAATTATTTCTATCTTCCCTCCAAATATTATTTAGATTGATATAAAACAGCTTATATTTCACAACGGCTTCCACTTTCATTCTTGACATAAATATCTTTATCATTTAGTTTTTGGAATGTCTAGTAATATAAAAGATATCTTGCCCCTATTATCATTTTAATATCATCTATTTTGCCACATTTTATTAAAATTTAGTAATTGCTTTACAAAGAACAAAATATCTATAATTTTTGTCAATGCATTTCTATAATTTCCCTGCTATTTATCACAGCAGTAATCTGATTACGATATTTTACGGTTGACATTAGTTGACATCAGTTAGAGGACCATTGGAGAACCAGGGAGTACTACACAGCTGTTTCGTTCTACATCAGTACTCACTCAGTGAAATTCAAACGCAGGAACTTCCAGTTACAAGGCAAGCTCGTAGACCACTTAACCATTGGGACCCGATCCAATGGCCCATTAATTCCAACATCTGCCAATTCACGATATATATATATGACGGAGAATATTTGTAGCTCAGGTGGTTTATTTGATTTTAGTTGTGTTCTCTGAGCTGGATAGTTCGTTTGCAAAGCTTTCATTGCCCTACTAGGCAACATCTTAAAACTGAAGTATGCGCTGAAGATGTTGCCTAGTAGGGCAATGAAAGCTTCGCAAATAAAGTATCCAGCTCAGAGAACACAGCTACATCAATATATATATATATATATAGCGCAACCGCCAGCTAATGTCATATGCGAATAACTGTCGTGCGTTCGAATCCCGGTGGGGGCGTACTGATGAAGAGTTACAAAACAGAATGAAACAGATCTTCAGTACTCCCAAGTTTCCCAGTGGTTCTCCAACTGATATCGACTCTTGATCAAACGTGTAACCAATCAAATCCCTGCAAACTAACACTTGATAATTACAGTATATGTCACTTAGTATGATAAAACAATGATTCCGTCGTTGTTTTGGATGATAAAAGAAACCTTATCTGTATACGATATCAAAGATAATACTTAGGCTTGCAACTCCTGTCAGTTGAAATATAGTAGTTATATCCTAATTCTCAGTGTTTCTTCATTCTATATGTGCGCAAAAGACATGTGCTTAATTGCCTAGGTGTTTTCATATCTTCCTCACCTTTTATTATCGTTTTCACAGCAAACAACTGACTACTATCACTTAATTACCTTTGCGATTAAAATCATTTTCTCCTGAGAAACATATTCCCTGTGTATAGTACAATTAGAATTTCTCCTATATATGAAGTCTAGTTTATGTAATATTTTATTCAAAATACTTCGATAGAAGGCGCGTATAATGGTTTAAGTATTCAACTAGCCAATGTCGTTTTATTTGTTGCTTTTTATTTTGATAGCTGTATTTGATTTTTATTAGTTAAAAGACACCTTTACAGATTTTATATAAGACAGTGTTTTACTTCCTTACATTTTTGCATTTTCCATTCATAGTCAGTAGTGAATACATTTCCAACTGAAATGGAATCAGATGATGATGATGCTAATGCTGATGACAGCGAAAATGAAAAGCAGTTAACACTATCTCATGATTCTCTACATGGCTTGTGGGATTTATCCAAAAAATCTCAGAATATCGTTACAGAGGAGAATGTTGATAATGCACTTCTTAGTTTTGGTAAGTTGCAGCACTGACTTAGTTCACTCGTAGAAGACTTTATTAATTCGAAGTGGATTCTTATATTCTAAATTTTCACTAAGAATTTTTGTAATATTTATTTCCCGATACGAATTTAAAACAAGTAACAAAAGTTAATAAAAAGCAGGATTTAATGAATTCCTCAAATTTCGTAGAACTCTTCAGCTGGATACTCTACATACAGGGATATATATATATATATACCATTAGAATTACATTGGGACATGTAAGACTAATTATATATCAGGAATTTCGAACTAAATAATATTGATAATAATAATAGTAACAATAATGATGTTGAAACGAGTTAAGATAATGTTAATGATAAAAGATAGTTTTAAGTGAATCAGAAATAGTAACAACAAGAGGCAGAATGAAGTATTAATAATAATAATAACAGTTTATAAATAAAACATATTACCATAGTAGATTCAGACTGACTGCCATTTACTTTTGTACACAGAGACCTAGTTTATAAACTCTGATTGCATAAGCCTCCGCAATCGCTAGCACCTTTCCTGTTTCTTTGTCTACTGACAACAGTGAATAACTTGACAGCGTTAATATCTTGTCCATAGTCCACAAGATGCTTTGTTATTGAACTTTCAGGCACATATCAGTCTTATGTGTGTCCCAATGTTATTCTAATGGTATATATGTCGCTGTATTTAGAGTGTCCAGTTGAAGAGTTCTACTAAAATTTGAGGAATTCATTAAATGCTGCTTTATTAACTTTTGTTGCTTGTTTTGAGAATTTTTGTGTTGCAAATACGAACTGAAGTTCTCTAAACTATGTTGAGCATGTCGACTATAACAATTTCAATTAAACTATTATTAAAATTAAATATCAAGGAGACTTCATAATAGTACATGTTTAGGATAACTGCTCAAAGTTAAGAAGAGACTGTTCTTTTATATTCTAGGTTTCCCCAGGAATTCGTTAACTTGACTGTTCCTAAGACCAGCATGATCCGTGAACAACCTTCTATCATTCAGATACTTAGTTATCAGTATAAATTGTTCTGTCTTACAACCTGCTACTTTAAAAAAAACACCTCTTGTGGAACAAAATTTCTCTTATAAATTGCCTTGCAATTAATTTGCCCAGTTTTTGGTGGGAGACGTCAATCAGTGTGCTCAACCAAGCAAACTATTTTGATGCATGGTTATCGACGATAATAAATCAAAGTCATGATGTCTTAATCATGAGAAAAACTTCGCAAACTTGTAAGCATTTGTGTGTAAAGTCTCAAGACCACTGATGCTACGATTTCCGCTACAGTTAATAATCCTAAACTCAGTTTCGTCAGTAACAGTGTACATGTTCCTAGAAAGCTATAGACTGGTACAAACCAAACTTCCACTGTTCTACTTTCTTTATTCCTTTATGTTCCCAGTGGAACGTAGGGCCTCAAGCTAAAGCCCTGAATTTTCAGTAGCAGTGGTGTGTATTTTTAGGGGGTGAAGTTGCTAACCTCATGCCCGACCTTCTCTTTTTACCGGTTTTATCACTGCCTTAGCTAGGTAAAGGGGTGGGTTGGCCAGAGATTGAACCCCAGATCACATACGTTGCTGGCGAGCATTCTACCGCTAAGCCACCGACGTCCACTGTTCTGTAGTCTCCACTTATATTTTAGCTTTCTGTGTTTAGTTGTAAACACCATCTAAAAGCCAATGATCTACTTATGGATCGATAAATTGAGGTTTTCTGCGGACTGCTATTAGCCACTTACTATCAAGGATGAAATTATCAAAAAGAGCTGAGATATCTAACTTGATGGTTTTCACCAGATTCATTATCATGCGATCTTAAAGTAGTTCCCCAAAATTTATTATCCTCCTATGACTGTTATACAAATTCACTTCAACTTGAATTAAAAGTGAAAACACAATTCTTAACGCATATATGAACAATGATATTTTAAGCGCCTTAAGCTGCGTTTTATTCCTTTTTAAATGATATGGACCTGTTTATCAAAACTGTAATTTTCTGATATTTTCAAGCGAAAATACTCTTGATTTGGTAATTTTGAAATTTGCTGGGAAGCATTTTCATCATCTTTGTGTATACTGTGCATAGGAATTAATCATCGAATAGTGTCCAGTATAGTTGTCCAGTCCCAAGCGTGTCGACTGATGACTTGGTTTAGTAACCTTTGATATAAGAATGGAATATGGGCACTAAGGTAGAGTATATTATATCATTTAATAATCTATGATAAAAACACACAGTGATACAGTATTATTTACTCATATCTTGAGCATAATTTATTGCTCATAGTCATATCAAGACAGTCACATAACTTTCAAACTTTGTTAATGTGATTTCATTATTTCTTACCCTTGGTCTTTATTGGTAGTGGTATTTTTCATATCTCTAGTATTGGTTTTAAGTCATTCCTATGGTGAGTGCTAAGTGTAGACTCAGTGAACACACATCCAGTGATTAATCTCTGCCTCTACCTGTTTATATTACTTTTTAGAAGTGTAGCTCTGTATCACTCTGTTGTATAATTGTGTGTAGGCACTTGCATAACGATAGCTTTTTGTCCAATCTATTCATTTTCTTGGAGTCACCTCACACTTAGCTGCATTCCTATGTCCCGATAACCCGACTCTGCCGATCTTCTGATCTAATCTATGTAGTTAGTCTCAAAGTCATTACAAGGTATTTTGTAGATTAAATTATTTTGTCTAATTGGGTCAGAAGGGTTCTTTAGCCTACAGAGCCAGTTTCTGAGCGAGTTTGGATGTTTAAATGCCACCTCGACTACTGCTTTAGCAATATTCCTATGTAGGTTCATTACCAGTTGTCTTCGCTCAATACTCAAGATCAGATGGCCAGAAAAGATCAGCAACAGGTATCTTTGGGAACGAACCAACCAGGAACAAATAGGCAGGAAGAAATGGAGATGGATTGGCCATACTCTGAGGAAACCATCAAGTGACATCACTAGACAAGCCATTGCTCGAGTAGAACCCGAAAGGGAAGCGGCGAGTTGGTCATTGGTGCAAGGGTGACTTGGAGGAGATCATGTGATGAGGAGATGAAAATGTGTGGGCAGACTTGGAGCCAGGTGAAGACTCTAGCAGAGAACAGAACGCAATGGAGACGCACGGTTGAAGCCCTATGTTCCTGTAGGAATTAAAGGATACAATAATAATATGTAGGTTCTCAGATATCCCTTGCTTAAGTGGAACTATACAAACAAAGTTAAGAGTTATAGGAGGTCATCAATAAATACTATTGCATAAAGGTGTTTCCAGTAACCTCTGTTAACTAATTCTGGAGCATGAACACATCAGCAAGACATCTTTTACGAAACTGTTTTGACAAATAGTGGCATGAGAGAAATCGTATTACTTCTGTGTTATATAAACATACCTGAAGTTTCCATCTGTGTAGTTGGCAGTAATTTCAAATTGTGAATATTCTGTGCGTTTTATTGATAACCGATAACTCGTCTTTATTTTATTAACCTCGTACTAAAAATCAATGCTGTCATGTTACGAAGTGCTTTCTACTTAATAATCACATGTTTCAACCTAGTCTCCAGAGATACAGTCAAGGCATCAGTCACTGATAAAGAAACGGTCTCAACATCGCTTTCCATGAGAAATCTAACCAGCAGATCACCTACCAAACTTTCCGATATGGATAACACGACAGAGGTCAAAGACAAAGGACTGCTTCGGAGCACGATGTATTTTTCTGAAAGAAACTCAAAGGCAGATAAGGTGAGAAAATGTTCGAATCTATGTGTTTTGAACTTATTGACATTACTGTTTATCTTGAAATGTCTCTGCTTGACAAGACCAAAATATTTGAAAGGCTTCTAAATTAAGTTTTATTGCGTTTCTGTAACCAATAACAGAAATTTAGGCTGACACCTACATTTAAATTGCATCAGTGAGAAATATGCTCACCACCTTTCAGTATAAAAATAGATATTCATGACTGATTGATGGTTTTGTCTGCTCAGCGAATATCTTGTTAGGAACAAGAGCTTTCAGTTTATTAAACTGAGTTACTCCAATAAAAAGCGTTCAAGAAGCAACACACTTATCTTTACAGCCTCATAAGTCATTACTTCTGGTTAACTGACTTCTGTTGACATCATTAGTTTATTAATTCAAGCACAGTAACTTATTTTAAATTTTCGGTGACACTTTAACTCAAAGTCTGCAGAGGAATGGCGGTTAAAATATAAATTAAACACATCAAAAGTAGGTGGCAAAAATGGATAGTTTAACTGGAATAAAGTTTTTAATAATACATCTCAACCATTTATTAATGTATCAATCAACAGGCAAGATGTATGTCAACAACCCTTACTGTTATTGTGTTGAGGGAATTAATTTGAGTTCCGAGTGGAACATAGGGCGTCTGATGTAACTCAACTTTCTCTTCAAAATATGTCCAATCCACTTCCATTTTCTGTGCATATTGGTTAGTCAATAGGTTTTTGATTGGTTCGTTGCCAGATTTCCTCGTTGTTCAACCTTTCTGGCTGGTCTGACTGACTGACTGGTTTCAACACACATCTTTGCACTGATGTGCAGCAGTTTGAGTAGCCACACTTCATGTATCATACAAAGCAAGAGAAGAAAGTAAAAAAAATGCGAAACAGAGACAGTAAACAGTGATATGAGGCGAAAAGAATAGTAATATCGAAGAACAATATAGTTTTATTGGGTATTATAAGTCACAACGAGTGGATGCATCTGCAACAGCCATTGGTTTTTACCGTCCCGAAGACCCCAACCAGGAAGTCTACACCTTCCTACGTGACTGGCTTAAACTAACTGTTGTGGATTTTATTGACTGATGTCATGTTTTCGTTCGACCACCAGTGGCTCTTTTCCAACCTGATCTTGTGTCAGCCAAAATTGCCCGTCGAGGAAGGCGATGGCTAGGCAGGCATGCGTCCTAACCATCTCAGTCGATGCAGCTGCTTCACAACCTCGTCGATTGATTCCCCCCTCCTTACCTAGCACTCGACGCCTAACCTTAATATTGCTCACCGTGTTATATCACTTCATACGGGAGATAGAACGCAGGCACCTATGATCAAAGACAGTTAGCCAGGCTTTTCATGTCTTCCACTCTGAATGGCCAGTCCTCACAGCCATAAAGGAGGACGGAGCAGACTGCTGAGCAGTACACACACCCTTTGGTCGACATCCGGACATCACGTCTATGCCAGAGAAGGCGTAAACTGACATGCGAACCGAGATGGCTGGTCAACTGACCTTCAGTATTGAGCGAAGGCATAACTGCATTATAATGCTTTTATGGTCATGTTTTCCTAAAATTGTTACCCAGGAATACACCCTAGTGAACCATAAAAGTTGAACTACTACACAAGCATTCGTATAGTCATCAAATTCAGGAATGAATTTTAGAATACACTGAAATTTATTCATTCACTTCGTCTGTGTACAGATTATTTTAGAAACATTATAAAAACTAATAAGGATGAACAAGGATTTAATATGTGTATGCATAAAAATGATAAAAATTGTCAAAATTAAGTAAATTTCTTCAATTCTTTAAGTTAAAAACACATTCATTAATTTTTTCTCAAAATTATGAAAGTCATTTTCACCAGTTACCATAAGTTTACTGACTTCATCAAAAAATACAACTGTGAAAGCCTCTGAAATCACTTAAAAATCTCTGGCATCATTCCAAAACTTATTTGAAACTAGGGTGAATGATTAACTGTTTGTTCATATACCTAGTTAAAAATGCATCAGTTGTTTACAGTCTGCTTTCATACTCAGAATTACTGAAAACGAACCATCAGCGGATCCAACTATTTGCAGTCTCTACCGTGTAATTATCCTATCAGTTTTTAACTGATCAAAAATGCCCATTATAAATTTCGAAAGGCTGATTACTGAACAAAGAATATTCTTTTTGATAACTTCTTCATCAGTTTCTACAGTTATACTTTCATAATGATGAAAGAAGTTTGGTTATTAATAACATTCATGTTTAAATAACACCGAATCAATAATATCGATAGATTACAGTTCACTAGCGTCTGTGAGCGTGATAATAGGCATCAAAATAACACTACACTGAATATTAATCAAATTAGGAAAAACAATAATACAGAATCCATGAATTCATTGCCTCCACAGAAGACCAGGGCAGTAGTAGTGACTGGACCTGTTTTTTGTATACACAGCACCTGTTGCTTTAGGCGAATCTCAACAGCCTCTGCTGTTTGGAATATTCGGTACCTGGATGCTTTTGGCAGTTTATTTGGTACCCGACAGATGATAGAGAAGGATTCTTCAATGGCAGAAATGTGGCCGGCCTAGACCAAGTGGTCTAATATCATTTCTCCACTGAAACCCTCAAATCATACTTTTAGACAAAAACATAAGATAATTCCATTTGTATAATGTGTTGGATGATCTGCTTACAAGAATTTTTCTAAAAATAGTTATTATTGATATTTAGAAGCAGAATTAAACTTTTAGAATCTTCGCTTATTTCTTTGCAATATTTGTACTTTTAGGAAATCTTGCAACGTGTGTTACAACAAACTCGTGAAAATATCATACAACCACAAATAGTGACTGGACGAAGATTTGATGGGCCTAGTTTTACAGCTAAACCAGCAGAAATATGGTTCAAAGTTAGTCATTTCAACTATATATGTTATATATATATATATTCGGCAGTTTGCTTATTATTTTTTTCAGTATGTTAAGTATATTCTAAAGACGGACTGCAGAAGACTACTTTAGTTATGTGAAATTTAAGAACTGTATTATAGTTGCCCAAAAAGTAGTTTTTTATAACTGCAGAGTAGGAAGTATGCTGACTGAATATCATAATTAGATCTGCGTTAACAGAATTCGAGCTAAGTATTTTTTATTATTCCTTTGTGCGTCGGTAGCACAGAGGTAGAATGCTTGCCAACCAGGCATGTGGTCCAGGGTTCGATCCCCGGACGACACACTCGTCTAACTCGCTAAGTCATTGATAAGACCGGTAAAAAGGGAAGGTTGGACATGAGGCTAGCAACTCAGTCCTGTAAAAATAAACACCACTGCTACCAAAACTTCAAGCCGCTAGCTTGAAGCCCTATGTTCCACTGGGAACGTAAAGGACGAGCTAAGTATACATAATTTTAAATAAATCCATTCACTAATACTCATTCTTAAAAATATATGCACAACAAAATGAAAGTTCAAACCGGTGGTAATAGGAATACATGTATGTTGTATTTAGATTTTAGACAAAAAAACACTTGAAATGCCGACAGAAATTTACGTTGTATTTTTGATAATTATGATAAAATACTGACTAAAATACGGATGGAAAATAGAACTCTCTAGGATTAAAAGAAGAAGGCAAGTACTAAACACATCCAGTCATCTTCTTTCCTTACTGTTCTCTGGTTTTTTCATTTCTTAAGTGTTGACAAGGGTCGCGTGATATGAAAGACACCCAGGAAAATAGGATGTTAATGAAAGAGCATGGAGACACATGTCCAAAATAAATTATGTAATAGAAAGAGTAAATAAAGGGTTGGTTAAGAAAAAGATGTTGCTAAGATGTCATACAAGCCTTGTTAACAAATTAGTAGAACTTGGAATTATACCCAAGGTAGAAGTAGGGGGTGGAGAAGCTTCTTCTGTGAGCATAAATCTGGGTTTTCTATCCGGATCGCTAAGGCCTCGGCAATGCAAAGTATACAGAAGCTTACTGTTTTTGGGAGGCTTCTTTTGATTTTGTAGATGACTTTGAATGAATTCTCCTTACATATTGAGTGACCGATGTTGTGTGTGTTCAATTATAGCACTTCATACTGATCCACTGTTACCTTTTTGTAACCAAGCGGGATAATGTTCTTTGACTCTTTTAGATAAAACATGCATCGAACGACCTATATATCTTGCCTCACATGAGGAAGTAAACTGGTAGATACACATAGAAGTGGGTTTCTTTCATATTACGCAACCCATGTCAATACATGCCAATCTTCACTCACCCTAGTTACAACTTGATTTTTCATTTTTGTTGCGGAATTTCACCCTCCTATTAGGAAATCTGTCATTCTTAACTTCTACACTGTTGTAAGCCTAATTGCCTTGTGTCTCTTTAGTCAATGAAAGCTGTTTTTACCTGTGAAGTGATGAAAAGAATTATGAATGAATACACAATACCTAATGCTCATAACTGACACCATCATTTGTTACTGTCACGACCACTATACATAGTGGTGATATGGTCTATTTGCAATAATTATTCAGACTTCAAACAATGATGTTGTGCCAATGACCCTTTTCCATCAACTTATAATCGTAACACAGAACTCAATCTACAGCATGGCAAAACTTGTAGTAGCACTCATACATCACATTGGTAATAACCACACAGCAAGGCCATTAAATCGAATATTTAAAAAAAATAAATGAGGACATAAAGTACATCAAAACTCTTTGAAGAAGATACTAAATAAAAGTTAGTAAATCTAGATTTAATTCTTGTATAAGTTGAACTTCATTATTTTGTAATCTCGACGAGTTTTTTACATAGATTTAAATTATTCATTGTTTTACAAATCAATTCTTTTAGAATATTGAAGTTGGTAGAACTCATAAAACAAAAATTATACTGACAAATGCTTCATATGCTATCAGCACATGTCGATATGTTGGCATCACATCAACTTTAATGGATTTTGTAGAAGTAAAGTGAGTTTATTTTGTTCTCTTTTATTTTGACGCTACTAATAATTGGTATGCATTGGTGGCACAGCGGTAGAATGCTCGCCAGCCATGCAGGTGCTCCGGTGTTCGATCCCCGGCCACCGATGCACTCCTTTACCTCGCTAAGCCAGTAATAAGACTGGTTAAAAGAGGGAAGGTTGGGCATGAGGCTAGCAACTCCACCTCGTAAAAATAAACACCACTGCTACCGAAACTTCAAGCCTGTAGCCTGAAGCTCTTTTTTCCATTGGGGACGTAAAGGAATAAAAAATAATAATAATTGGTATATATGTATACGGCGGGAGAAACTTCTACCACTGAACCTCTGAAGTAGAAGGTGGTTTACTTAAAAAAGATAATTTCAGCTTTAATAATGAATATTTACTTTCAATGAAATAAAACACTGAAAACTTCAAACTTCACAGATGTACTTAAGTCAATGCAAGAACTGGCGCGGAATTATGCTCCTGTCCATCCCAAGCAAAATACTAAGCCGCATCATCCTGGAGAGAATCAAACACGCCAGCCTGGATGAAAAACTTCGACCGGAACAGGCTGGATTCAGGAGAAACAAGTCATGCAGTGATCAGATCGCCACATTACGGATCATCATTGAACAAAGCTTGGAGTGGCAGTCACCTCTCTATCTCAACTTCATCGACTTTGAAAAGGCCTTCGACAGCGTCGATCGAGAGGTGATTTGGCAACTACTTCGCTACTACGGGGTGCCACCGACAATTATACATCTCATCCAAAAGCTGTACGACAATGCTGCATGTCAAGTGATCCACAACGGGAAACTTACGGAACCCTTCGAAGTGAGTACAGGAGTAAGACAAGGCTGCCTACCACCTCCAATGATTTTCCTGATTACAGTAGACTGGATAATGCGACAGACAGCGGGCAATGAGGAAACAGGCATAAAATGGACTCACACAAAAACTTGGAGGATCTGGACTTCGCCGATGATATATGTCTGATTTCCCACAAACTGGAAGACATGCAAGCGAAAAGCAACAAGTTAGCAGAAAAAGTATCAAAGATAGGAATTCAGGTGAACATAGATAAAACAGAGGTGATGAAAATTCCTGGGCAACACCACCAACAGCAACAACAACAACAGACAACAATCAGCATAAATGGGAGGAACCTGAAAGAAACAACCTCTTTTACCTACCCACCATGGGAAGCATCGTCTCAACTACAGGCGGACGGAAGTGACGAGGATATCAAAGCAAGAATCGGAAAAGCAAGACAAGCTTTCACTACTCTCAAGTCTGTGTGGGGGTCAACAACACTCAGCATCAAAAATAAGATCCGGATTTTCAACTTCAATGTGAAGTCAGTGCTACTATACAGATCAGAGACTTGCACTGCGCGTCATAAATAGCATTTCAAACAAACTACAGACCTTCATCAACAGCTGTCTTCGCTCAATACCACTCAAGATCAGATGGCCGGCCAGAAAAGATCAGCAACAGGGATCTCTGGGAGCGAACCAACCAGGAACCGATTGTGAAACAAATAGGCAGGAAGAAATGGAGATGGATTGGCCATACTCTGAGGAAACCATCAAATGACATCACTAGACAAGCCCTTAAGTGGAACCCGAAAAGGAAGCAGCGAGTTGGTCGTCCAAGGGTGACTTGGAGGAGGTCATGTGAAGAGGAGATGAAAACGTGTGGGCAGACTTGGAGCCAGGTGAAGACTCTAGCAGAGAACCGAACGCAATGGAGACGCACGGCTGAAGCCCTATGTTCCTGTAGGAATTAAAGAATACAATAATAATAATTGTATATTCTTGAAATAACTTAAACCACTTATTATTTATTATCTGTTGTACCTTAATTGTTTATCAATTTGATGATTTAGGTTCAATCCACCTGGTTCACTTTCACCTGGTATGAATTGTGGAGTGAAGATTAAATTCACTCCTAAAATGAATAAAAATTTAAATGGTGAATTAGAGTTTTTATCACCAACTGGATCATTCTTTATCCCATTCAAAGCAACAGTGAAGAAATGTGAAGTAAGTTTAACTCTAGGAAGTGAACAATATTGAGTTTTTCGAAAACTTCATTTATTGTAGGTTTTAACTTCTATTCTGACTTGTTTTCGAATTATACAGCCTGGAATAAATTATTAAAAATTTCAAAATCTTCAAAATGAAATCCAAATAATTTAGGTCATTAGTGGAAGGTTTATACTGAGAACATGCAATCAGTTAAACTTAATAATATGCTTAGCTACAAATTTATATGACTAATATTTATTCGCTCCACTAGACACTGTGATCGATGAAGACCGCTTTTTATCGACGAATCCAACGGAAATGTCAGACGAAAAGTCAATAAGAGTTTGCTAATAACATCCATACACTAAATAAAAATTTTCTGAGGTATAATGGAGAAGATTTGTAGCCCAGGTGGATGATTTTGATGTAGCTGTGTTCTCTGAGCTGAATGGTTTACTTGTGAAGCATTCATTGCCCTACTGGGCAACATCTTCAGCCCAAGTTTCAATTTGAATTGAGCTTTTAGATTTCTTGACGAGTTTATAAGTCATTTCTCCTAGTGATTTTGAACGTGATCGATTGTTTTATTTTGTGTTTGTGTGTGTGTCCGGGCTACTTGTATTGGTACTGATTGTTTCGTTGACCTGAAGTTTGACCCTTTGAGCATGAGATTTCCTTCTCATCTATTGGTAAATTTTCTGTATGTCAATGTGTGTATTAATTGATGCTTCACTGGAATACCAGGCTTCCAAAAATTCTCTGGCAGTCTTGGTGTTTCTTCTGTCTAATATTTGAACGTTGTCCCAGTAGAATTGATGTCCATGGTTGTCTCTATGCAGCCAATCACGTTCAAGGTCACCAGGAAAGATGTTTTATAAACTCGTGGAGAAACCTAAAAGCTCACTTCAAATTAAAGTATGCGCTGAAGATGTTGCCTAGTAGGGCAATGGTAGCTTCACAAATAAACCATGCAGCCCAGAGAACACAACTACATCAAAATTTTCTGAGGTATGTTTAACGTCTAATGCACTAATGAAAAGACAGTGCATGTATTAGATGGTTGGAGGCAATCGGCAGGAAGCCTTGGACCTAAGTTTCGTGCTAGTTGGCATTCGTCAGCAAGGCGTATCTGCAATCTTGAACGAACTCGTGTCCCTTCTGAGATTCAAAACCGCGTCACCCAGTGCTGCTGCTGCGAGCTACCTAGAATGGTGGCTACATTGCAAACCTGACTGATAGAATTCAGTCTGCACCAAAGAAAGGACTAGACACATCACACTATTTACTAGTGTCCAATCAAAGATAGTCCAGTGGAATCACTTACATTACTCCATCCTCACTAATACTCGTTTTCCAAAGGAACACTTCAAAAATTAACAGTAACATCACAGTAACAAGTTATGGGAGTTAGCTTATGATATTCCACGAGAAACACGTATTCTTTAGTCAAACAAATTTGTCTAACCAAACATCAAGAAACAAAGTATGAATGTTGTCAACCAATATAGTTGGCTTTGGAGTGCTGCTTAGGTCATTTGAATATCATAGAGTCTAATTTCTGCTTACCTGCTCACCTTCAAGCTAAATCACAAAACTTTTCAATAACCTCAGAAGTGTGTCATTCCATTTTGCATATCATTTTAAGAAGTAACTCACTTAAATTTCTTTTTTATCCTGACTACTATTACTACTGAAACCATATAGAGAACAAAAAACAATCCTAAATAAAAGTTTTCTCTATATTTACATAACCAACTGTATATTTTCATTGAGATTATATTCTCTCGAGTACTCCTAGATAATCTAAAGATTCACGACACAACAGATTCGTTTTTTATCACTAATGCTGTTGCAAAAAGTGAAATTACAGTCCTAAGAGTTTCCTTACTCCTTCAATTATTTCCTTTTCATATGTTTGTATTTTATTCAACCTCTTTGAAGGTAACAACTTTCACGACATTGTTTTAAAACCCTGTCTGGTAAAAATGCTACTCAGGTGTATCATTAAAGCTTATATTAAGATCAGGGAAATGCTATACATACCAAGACACGGGGTTTCTGGGTTATAACTTGACTTTTAATTCTTAGTAAGCCTGAAAATACCGTTACTATTGAAAATTCATGGATTTTACATATAGCAATAACACAATGAATGTTATATTCATCGTATTTCTCAAAGATACGTATATTTAAGCGGTGGCAGAAAAGTACAAAGGTAGTTATCACTTAACCAAGTTTATATTGAAATACGAAGCACAAATAGTACCTGGTTTATGAAGATCAACTACGAATAGCAAGAACATACAAGTTTGAAGACTGTTTCTGAAACAGGTCAAAATGGTCCATAATACTGCAAACTTATTCATTCTTCACAACCTTCAAACTTCTGAATATGGTCACTAGTTTCCACTGAATTAATCTCATTCATTTCTGTCCTCTGTCTGTTGTTGTGTGTGTTGTTTCAATATATGACATATTAAACTGAAGTACTTTTGCGTATTACTGTATGTGGATTTATCAAGCAGTCGGTCATGAGAACGCTGAGCAGAAAGAAAAATCTAATCTATTCCCTGTCCTCAAGAAGGAAGTATTTTTGCGAACGACATGAATGATATTTCGGCTGAATATATTGTAAGGAACGAAACGACTGACGGAAGTGTGTTACCTGATAAAGGATAAACTAATTTCAGTGAAGTCTGGATTGTTGTTATTAAGTTATATTTAATAATGTCAGAGCTGTAGTCATGATATTTACAAACACACGATAGCTTCACATCAGGATGAATCATTTCACAATCTGATTAGACTTTTCAGGTATCGCATTTTTCGAATGTGTATCCAATTCTTTTTTGTCCCCGTGTACTAAGGTAATCAATGGTTCTGATTGAGAAATGCCCGTATTCATGACATTCTCTCAAATCTTTTGAGCTAGACATTAAAAAATAATTAAATATGAAACTTTATCAACGTACTTATAATTTCATTATTGTGTGAATATTAAAAGCAGCATGCTACCAAGTGACAAAAATGTCCTATCACATTTGGGTTGACTACGTCAGTTTGTGGAGAGGGAATGACTGAATCCGTCATTCTTATCTTAGCAATTTGAATTACATTTTACATGAAGTCTTTCTGCTGTGAGACGTTCTTTGTGATATTTTGAAATTTTTCCGATTGGTTCCAATATTATCAAAATCAGTCTTATGACTTGGTTGTATAGAGTGTAGACCAGAATCCTTTTTCAAACTATTAAATCTAAACTTGGTTTTGACTTCTGTATGCTTATCAATTGGTTTAAATATTCAAATTAAGTCGGGCAGCTTGCGTCCCAGAGAAGTCACTTTTCATATCAGAAGGAAAGATTAAGTATTCATTTTAGCTTGCACATCACACCTATTAATTTGCCCTTATTGCCTCATTTTAAGTTACGTAATTTCTTCATTAGTTTTCAACAGACTGTAATACAGTGGATTTTGGTGAAGTAGTCATTGGTGAAACTGTTCAACAAAGTATAACACTGATCAATTCCGGTGCAAAAGGTGCTAATTTCACATTCAAGACTTTATCTGAAATTCACAAGGAAGAAAATGAGGTAAATGTTTTGGAAACATCACCAGAGGCAATCAGAGCAGAAGAATCTATAGAAGATTCGGTAAACTCTAGCGAAACAAGGAAACATAATGAGGTATGTTGTAAATTCATAGCATTAAAATGTATGTTTAGCTGTTGAATTTCTCTTGAATATGAGTCATAAATGAGATTTTTTGAAGAATGTAATACTGTCCGCTAATTTCTCGATATCTTAGTGAAATCTGTATATATATATATATATATATAAAAGTGCATAGAACAATGCAATACCGCTCAACTTTACAAAGGTTCCACAAATAAATTTAAAAATCACTAAACCCTCATTTGAGAAATGTAACTCCTTAGAATAACTATTAACTGTGTGACACAATGTTGTGTGTGACAAACTAAGGTAATAATTTGTTAAGTTTAGCTGCATTTTATCCCACTGACCGACTGAGATGAGTAGTTTTAAACCTCTAACATCAACCAGGAGTGCTCTCTAGCCAGACCTAAACACCGGATGGTCGTTCTTCTCACTTAGGACCGAGTGGTGTGTCCATTTTGACAGACGAATCAGTTCAAACCACTCGATTTCTGGATGGCTATTTGGGTCAACTGGTAATACCATAAATCGAATTTGCAGTTCGCAAATTCGATTGATTTATTTCATTGTTAGTTTCCTTCAAATAAGCTTCTGAGCTCGGTAGGTTTATTTTGGGCTGATAATCATAAAACCGCTAGTTTGAAACTTTATACAAACTAGATTTTTATTTCAAGTTCACTCACCTTCTTGCAGTATACATAATTAGAACATTCAATTTTGACCTTTTGAAAAACGGTATGCCTGTCATTTGGTAGTACAGATAGCTATCCATTGTTTGATGTTATTTTAGAGGAGTAAAATACGTTATTCTTGTTACAGATCTTCCAGCATAAACGAAGATTTTATTGGACTGTAGTCATGAAAATAACTTAGAAGTGAAACGTTGGTTACATGCATTATTTATGGTAGCAGGGTAAACATTAAGACAAGTCTAAAGTGAAGATCAGTGTTGTGTATATTTAAGTGATCTGAGGGTATTTGCACACGATCAATATAAGATAACCCTTTAAAAGCAACACAGTTGGATTTAACCACATAAGCTGTTTCTCACTAGACAAAAACAGCTCGAACTTTGTTAAGTATTATGGAGGTAACTGTACACTGGATAACACAAACCCAAGTCATTGTAAGATCACGAGCTTTAAACGTCTATTAATGACTCATTGACACTTATAGAACCAAAATAAATTACAAACTTTGGGCTCTGTGAGAGTAAATATGTCAAGATAATATATCGCTCTAATCAACGATTAAGATGCACTCTGTGATCAGTGAAGTTTAATTAAAAGTTAGGACGAAATCTACTTTGATTATTTGCAGCCTAACAATTTATAAGTACTGAGAGTTCTGATAATTATTTTCATACAAATCACATAAATAACCACGTGGAGTTCTAATAATTTGTTTTCTTCTTATATAAAGAAGGAAGAAAGTGATCCTCAAAAAAAGGAAAACGAAAACAGCGTGTCTCAAAGTGAGTAAACTAACGTATTTTCTGGTAGCCAGTAACGCTTTTTTCTATATTAACCAACTGATACCTCTTTATCTGGCTTGTGTTATCTTTGGAAACTTGCTCTTGCGTTTCATATTCTCAGGGTAAATACAAACTGTCCACTCAGTTAACACCGTCGACTAATAGTTGTGCATATGAAATGAATACCTGAAACGAGATGCACTCATTCTAATGAGTCAATCAGTGAAGCGTATCAGAGACAACTAAATGAGATATGACAAGATAATTAAATATGAGAATGATTTATTTCAAAATATTAAAGATTTCTGCTTGTTGTGAGGCATGTGCACAAGACTCGATTGTGGTCATAAGCTCGAGCCTGTTTACAAAATTTACTACATGAAGGTCAAGATATCCTTTGGCTAATGCTTTGGAACAGCTAGTGTATGAATAATATTTAGCTCAAGAGTAGATAAATCACTACTTGATTGGATTTTACTGGATAATTGTCTGTGTTTAGACTGGCAGAACGATTTTGAAATAATTTTTAAAAATGATCGCGATACTTTTTGACACTTATTCATCTTCTAGACTTTCATACTTATTAGTTGTAGTTTAGATGAAGTAAAATGTCCATATTTTATTAGAAAGCGTCCAGTTTGTTGATGAAAACGAAACGCTGAATTGTAGTCATCTTAGAAAGTGATTTTAACACAAAAGTGGGTAAAGTGAGACAACTTTAAAAGTATATTATATTTGTCTGTGCCACTAAACTGAAAATGGTGATCGTCCGTGACAATTTTGTTTAGATAACTATGTGTTCCTGGACAGCACTAATTTCAGACAAAAGCGGGGACATTGTCTCACTTGACATTGTAAAAACAGAACACACAGATAAAAGCTATCAATGAAGAGAGTCATTCGAAGATTACTGCTCCTTCTAAGACACCTTCGTGGATTCTGGTCACACATTTGTCTGTGCATCTGTGTCTATGGTTGAATCGAACTCGAATATAAGTGGCTGCTATATTTCCTGTGTGGCCAGCTTTGTGATTACAACATGAGGCATACATTTAAGAAGAATATAGCTGAACACTTCCGAGTATAAGGAAAATACCTATCCTAGGGAAGCCTAAATTAATATCCAGTTTACTGTAGGAATAGTAATGAAGACTGGTCATGATCTGAGGCCAATCCTTAAAAAAATACAAGTGAATCTTGTTAGTTTTATTACTAAATGATTGATATAAACAGATTGACGCCTATAGACCTCTTAAATGACGACAGGTGAAAGCTCCTCAAACCTAAACCGACTAAAATCCTTCACAATTAAAGGCTAATAAGTCGAGTAGAAACTGAAAACGATGACTGTGCGGAAGAAACCATTATTTATTTTAGTCTAAGTTTAGTGATGATGTTTTCAGTGAATTTTTAGCCGGAGAGAGTGACAGAGACGATTAAGAGTCGATTCAATGAGACAGACTTCTGTCTGTCTGATCAGCAAATGGTGGTGACCAAAATGAAGGATGCTCCCTAACCATACATGTGATCCGGGAATTTATCTCCCTTAGTCAGCTGGGAGCACGACAAAGAGGGAAGGTTCGGTGTGAGGCTAGCGACCCCACCCAACAAAAAACACCATTGGTAATAAAACTTCATATCTCAAACTTGAAGCCTTATGTTCCACCATGAAATTAAAGGATTTAAAAAATAAGCCTTGATCCCTTGCGTTTGTTTGTTGGTTTACATAATCATCTATTTTCACTATTCTTATTACCACGCATTTCTTGACTGTTCATCATAGCTAATAAAATTATTAGTATTTTTAGTATTTTTACAATTTCCAATTATTTATATCATACTATTTTATATTTATATTATTATATATTAATATATATTATTATATATTATTATTTTATATTATTTTATTAGTAGTTTTCATGTTTAGGCTAGGTTTTAGCTTCATGTTTACTATGTTGGGGCATTTAGGGACCATACGGTCATAGCTTGTTTAGGGATGCTCTGGCATAGGAAAGCTATATATCAATCGATAGCTCTCGACGAGATCTATTCTTTGACATTGGTTTCGACCCTTGTAGCCTCTCCTCAGCCTTCCCCAGGATCTTTGATATCTGGGCTTGCGCCCTCAGGGGTTATGCTGCCAAAATTTTTCCAGGGAGGCTAGGACTTAGGGAAGCTATATATCATTGGATAGCTCTAGACGAAATCTACCCATTGGTACCGGTATCACACCTTATAGCTTCTCCTCAGCCGAATAGGGAATTTCTTCAAAGGCTACAGGGGATCCCTGTTTCTAGGCCTAGAGTTCATGCCGCTGGCTGTTCTCTTGACATTTTTAGCTCCGCGACCTCAGGTTGTATGCCGTTGTGTATGTAGCTAGGGGGCATTACCAACCATAGGGCAGCAGGGGGGCAGAGACTGCTAGGCAGGAAAATCCTCGTATTTTTCTTAGAAATAGCTTTTCATCTCTCATTTATATACCATTGAATTTCTCTCGACGAGACAAACCGATTGGTACCTGTCTCGTTCCTGTAGGACTTATGGTTGCGGAGCTATGGCTTCTTTAATTTCAGCAGTTATCCTCCTATTTTAGCGTTTCTTAGAGTGAACATACTCGTTCATTTCATCCACGATGTTATCGGCAACGGGGAGTTGATAAGGAAACCGAGGCTGACCGGCAGCTTAACCGGACTTCTACTGATATGACTGTGGCGACGGTATCAGTAGGAGATAACTTGGGTCGTCACACCGTTCCTAGCGTAGCTCCGTTGATAGTAGCAACGGGCATCAACCAAATTTGTCAAACCTCACAACCTTCTGATACATCGGCGACGGTATCAGTGAGGGCTGGACTTAGTCTTCATCAATCCAACCCGATGAACCAAACGAATTCAAAAAATATCATGCCGGATCGGCCGTGGCCCAGATTAACAACGACCGCGCTCTCTGCTGCCGTGTCACAGGGCAGAAGTGATAAGTACACTACTGAGACACACCAGGCCGTGTGTGACCGGCCTCAAGCAGATGTCCCCTGGGCTCTGCGGTCACGCAACACTAACCTTTCTTTTATTTTAGGTACCCAAAGACTAAACTCAGGCGTGAGGCCAGCAACCCCACCCTGTAAACAAACCTGCTACAGAAACTTCAGCGTGAACAATCTCCTTGCGACAAAAGAAAAAGTCTGTGTGGGGACATGGAATGTCCGCACCATGTACGAGACTAGCAAAGCTGCCCAGATCGCAAGAGAAATGAGAAGATATGGACTACAAGTATTGGGGATCTGCGAAAGCAGATGGAACGGAAACGGACTCACCAAATTGTCAACAGGTGAGTCAGTGATTTACTCCGGTCACCCAGAAGACAACCACACACACACACCGAGGGCGTGGCTATAATGATGTCACCAACGGCATCCAAGGCTCTGATACAGTGGGAGGCGATCTCACCCAGAATAATGAGCGCCAGATTCAACTCCAAAGGAAGAAAAGTGTCAATTATACAATGCTATGCACCCTTAAACAACGCAGACCTCGAAAAGAAAGAAGAATTCTACAGACAACTACAGGCAGCAATAGACAATACTCCAGCCGGTGACATTAAAATACTAATGGGAGACATGAACGCCAAACTTGGACCAGACAACACAGGAAGGGAACTCATCATGGGTAAAGAAACCCTGGGAGAGATGAATGAAAATGGAGAACTCTTCGCCGACTTCTGCGCCTTCAATGAACTAGTGATTGGTGGCAGCGTATACAAACACAAGGATATTCACAAGGCTACATGGGTGTCACCAGATGGGCGAACCAAAAATCAAATTGACTTCATCACAATCTCGAGGAAGTGGCGGCGCAGCCTACTGGACACAAAAGCAAGAAGAGGAGCAGACGTTGGCTCAGACCACTACCTCGCACAAGGAACAATCCAACTCAAATTAAAAGCTTTCAGAGAACCAGGAGCTGCAGATAGACCACAAGCCAAGTTCAACACTCAAAAACTAAAGGACCAGGATACAAAGGATATCTTTACTGCAAGTATAAAGGACAAAGCTGAGACACAAATCAACATTAGCGAAGAGGTCAGCGTCGAAAAGCACTGGAACTACTTGAAAACAGTGTGGAGTCAAACCTCCATAGAAGTTCTAGGCAGAAAGAAGAGACAGGACAAACCGTGGCTCACTATGGACACTTGGAGGCTAATAGAAGAGAGAAGGATGGTGAAACAAAAGATTCTCCAGTGCACCGACGAGCAACAGAAACAGGAGTTGAATGCAAGCTACAATACACTGAACAAAGGAGTAAAGAAGAGTGCCAGAGAAGACAAAAGAAAGTATTATGAAGCCATGGCCAGTGAAGCAGAACAAGCAGCAGGCAAAGGAGACCTCGCAACACTCTACCAAACAACTAGGTACCTCTCAGGCAAAAACTCGTCACAAATTAAGCCAGTGAAGGATGAAAATGGAAAGTCAATCACCAAAGAAGTAGAGCAAAGGAAACACTGGGCTGAACACTTCAAAAAACTACTTAACCGACCGCCACCTACAACGCGCCCAACAATACCAACAACGGAAGCAGAATTACCAGTGAACATCAACCCCCCGACGAAAACAGAAGTCCTGAAGGCAATCAAGATGCTGAAAGCTGGAAAAGCAGCAGGACCAGATGGAATCCCAGCAGAAGCATTGAAAGTGGACCCAGAGACAACAGCAGACTTGATGATGCCACTACTGGAGAAGGTGTGGAAAGAAGGCAAAGTACCCAAGGATTGGAAGAAAGGATACCTATTCAAACTACCAAAGAAAGGAGACTCAAGTCAATGCAAGAACTGGCGCGGAATTATGCTCCTGTCCATCCCAAGCAAAATACTAAGCCGCATCATCCTAGAAAGGATCAAACAAGCCCTGGATGAAAAACTTCGACCAGAACAAGCTGGATTCAGGAGAAACAAGTCATGTATTGATCAAATCGCCACACTACGGATCATCATTGAACAAAGTTTGGAATGGCAGTCACCTCTCTATCTCAACTTCATCGACTTTGAAAAGGCCTTTGACAGCGTCGATCGAGAGGTGATTTGGCAACTACTTCGCTACTACGGGGTGCCGCCGACAATTATACATCTCATCCAACAGTTGTATGACAACGCTGCATGCCAAGTAATCCACAACGGGAAGCTCACGGAATCCTTCGAAGTGAAGACAGGAGTAAGACAGGGTTGCCTACTATCGCCAATGATTTTCCTGATTGCAGTAGATTGGATAATGCGACAGACAGCGGGCAATGAGGAAACAGGCATAAAATGGACTCACACAAAGAACTTGGAGGATCTGGACTTCGCCGATGATATATGTCTGATTTCCCACAAACTGGAAGATATGCAAGTGAAAAGTAACAAGTTGGCAGAAGAAGCATCAAAGATAGGACTTCAGGTGAACATAGAGAAAACGGAGGTGATGAAGATCCCTGGCCAACACCAACAACAACAACAACAGACAGCAATCAGCATAAATGGAAAGAACCTGAAAGAAACTACCTCCTTTACCTACTTGGGAAGCATTGTTTCAACTACAGGCGGAACTGACGAGGATATCAAAGCAAGGATCGGGAAAGCAAGGCAAGCTTTCATTACTCTCAAGTCTGTGTGGAGGTCAACATCATTCAGCGTCAAAAATAAGATCCGGATTTTCAACTTCAATGTGAATAGTCAGTGCTACTATACGGATCAGAGACTTGGCGTGTCACAAAAAGCACCTCAAACAAGCTACAGACCTTCATTAACAGATGTCTTCGCTCAATACTCAAGATCAGATGGCCAGAAAAGATCAGCAACAAAGATCTCTGGGAGCGAACCAACCAGGAACCGATTGTGAAACAAATAAGCAGGAAGAAATGGAGATGGATTGGCCATACTCTGAGGAAACCATCAAGTGACATCACTAGACAAGCCATTACTCGAGTGGAACCCGAAAGGGAAGCGGCGAGTTGGTCGTCAGTGCGAGGGTGACTTGGAGGAGGTCATGTGAAGAGGAGATGAAAACGTGTGGGCAGACTTGGAGCCAGGTGAAGACTCTAGCAGAGAACCGAACGCAATAGAGACGCACGGCTGAAGCCCTATGTTCCTCTAGGAACTAAAGGAAATAATAATATAATAATCTTTATCCTGCTTACCGTGATCTCTGCTCGTAACATTCTCACGTTGTGTGTACTTTTTTCAAGTTTATTCAATCCATCAGTCATGCCATTTCATTTTCACTCCGATATTCCTCCACTAAGCAACTACAGCAACAGATACACCTGATTATTGTCCATTTTCACTGTTTCCTCTTCATGTTAAGTCACCTTTCTAGAACTACTCACTTGTCTTTAATATTTACCAGATACTCTTATGCATTTTTTTCCTCAGTTGAAGAATACGAAGAAAACACAATGCTAGAAGATGAAAATGAAATGAAAAACATTCTAACTAACTTCAAGTCTGGTGAATTAAATCGTGGATTTCTAGCCCCATTCTCTACTGTTAAACTAGACATTATCTGGTCACCTAAAGATATTTCTATCAATGAAGGTGAATGCTTAATGGAACAAGAGAAATTCGTCATCAGTTTTGATGACGCTGAAAGTTCAGATATTTACATTCAAGCTATTGGTTATGCTAAAAATATTCCAGTATGGCTATCAACGTCTAGTTTATCCCTAGGAATTTGTTGGTATGATCGTCTATATCAAGAATGTTTTTCTGTTCATAATAGAACTAAATCAGCTGTAAAAGTTGTATTTGAAGTTGACAAAGAAATTTCAGATCATTTGAAAATTTTACCAAAAACTGGATTTGTTCAAGTAAGCATGTTTACTTGTGTGTTGGTGAAAGAATACAATCCTTTTTTAACCCTCAACATCAATAAATTTTCACTAAGCCATTGCTTTGAAGAAGTGATAGCCGTAAATCTGCTAAATCGAAGCGAAATGCATCATTAGAATACAATGTAAAGATTCTTCTCTGGTTTAGGGATCTCACTACCAGAGTTCGAATTAGTCCTTTACAAATAGTGGTGAAATCTAAAGTTATAAGATTTATTACAGCTCAAAGGAAGGTTCTTAAAATTTATACTTTCCTCCCACTCGCCGTTTATACTTCACTGAAAATGGTGGCGAACAGATAGCCTGAAAATTGGTACTGGACAGCTGTTCCATCCTTGTTTGGGACTCTCCAGCAGTACCCACCCACCGCCTCACCGGGTATCAAAACCAGGACCCACAGGCTACTAAGCGAGCTCGTTAACTGTTCAGCTACTGGAACGATATCCAATGACCCATCAGTTCTTACTTCTGTCAATTCGCCATATTAGCGGTACCTCTAGACAGTGTCATAGACGAGTATTTATCCTCACATCCTACCTAGGGGACCTCGCTGATCGCGAACTAACAGAAGTTAGAACCCATGGGTCATAGCATCCTGTTCTTGTGGTAACCTGAAGGTCTTGGGTTCTATCCCTGGTCCCGCAACGGGTGCATGCTTATAAAGAGTTCCATGCTAGGACGATGCATCTGTCAAGCACTCCCTGGTTTTAAATGACTGTCTAACTGATATCCATCCGTGATCATAATAAAAATAAATCAAATCCCCACGAGCTGACTATTGAAATTTAGTAAATTTATTCAACATTTGTACCTGAATGACTCAGTTTATGAGTCAGCTGATTTTTACTTCTGAATGTTACAAGTAAATCTACATAAGCATTCACAGTGGTCTAAAAACTAATAATAATTAAAATTGTTATTCAAGTGTTGGTTTGTAGGGAATTGACTGGTTTCAGGATTTCATCATGAAATGACATCGGTTAGAGGACCATTTGAAAACCTGAGAGCACTGTACAGCTGTTTCGCCCTAGCTGGGACTCTTCATCGGCACGCATCCCGGACCTACTGGTTACAAGGCAAGGTCGGAGACCATTAAGCCACTGGAACCCGATCAAATGGTCCATGAAATTGCTTTAAACAGTTGTAGTACCTCGGTATATTCAACCTGACACCCTGTATCACATTCCACTTATCCACTTAATGTAGAAAGGTTATTAAGGATAATAAACCTAAGGCCACGAATCATGTACCTGATCCTGACAATGTAAAGGGAAAAGTAAATTAGCCCTGTTGCAAGTGACTGTCAAATATAATCCCAGAAGTTTTTGCAAAGTTTAGGTTAAAACAGTACTTCCATAAAGATCAGAAGTTAGATTTTGTCCCCCCCCCCATTAAGTAACTGTTCACTTGTGTGAGTAATGTCGATGATAGTGGAAAACAACATGTTCTAACATTTCTAACGAAGCAAACTATTTTGAATTTGCTTAAGGCTAAATAATCATTTTAAACAGTCGACAGAAAGAACCATTTCACATTGTTGGAGGCAGTCAGCAGGAAGCCTTGGACCTAGGTTTCGTGCTTGTTAGCACTCGCCGGCAAGGCGTATCTACACATTACATTAGTTACTAACTAGTGTTCATGATCACTCGCTAAGGAGGCCGTTGACTGATATCGCGCGTCAGGCCCTCGAGTGGAACCCGGAAGGGAAGCGGCGAGTGGGACGTCCAAGGGTGACATGGAGGAGATCGTGTGAGGAAGAGTTGAAACAGTATGGACTAATATGGATGCAAGTGAAAGGTAAAGCAGGAGACAGAAGCAAGTGGAGGCGTGCATTTGAAGCCCTATGTTCCACTAGGAACCCAAGGGAACAATAACAATAAGTGTCCATGATGGCAAGCCACCTAGCACAGTGACCACGCTGCAAACTTGACTGGTAGAATTCAGTCTGCGCCAAACAAATGACTAGACTAGTGTCCAATCAAAGAACCATTTCAGATAATTCCCCTCAAATAATAATTACCTCATATTCTACGAGATTAAAAACATTAGTCGACAAAACACGAAATCAACAGTCTCTGTTTGACAAAAGGGCCTGGTACAGCAGAATTTAGCTGCTGCAATATGATTCATATACAAAATCAGCACACCAGCATTAGTATTGGCTCATTGTACATAAAATGGAAGATCAAATAGCAAGCCAGACAGAGTTAGCAACAAGAAACTCTGGCAACAAACCGACCAAGATCCTATCGCTCAACAAATATTCAGAAGAAAATGGAGATGAATCCGGCATACGCTGAGAAGTACGCCGAATGATGTCGCGTATTAGGCAATCTACCAAGTGGAATCCCAATGGGAAACGACCAGTGGGTCGTCTGAGGGTGACATGGAGGAGATAAGAGATTGTGAGCAATCGTGGACCCAGATAAGGAGGACAGCAGAAAATAGAAAAAAGTGGAGTTGTGTTGTTGAAGCCCTACTTTTCACTCTGAACACAAGGTAATAACATTGTTAACAATACAGTGCCCAAAGTATGTTTATACCTTTTCATTACAGCCTGCTTCTGTTGGAAAAACTACTGATACGACGATTCGGTTCAATGAATTCAGCTTATTCTCAATATATGTCATACTCCAAAACAATTCGATACATTCATTTGAATAAAATTCTACACGGTGAATATGCTTACTGAGCTCTATTTCAGTACTATACGATGAGCAGTGTAATTTACTAGGTTACTTGGCTAAACTAGGCATTATTTTCAGTTGAACTTTTTCTTGAAGCATCTATCAATTGTTTGACAGATGAATTTGACTCAGCCCTGCAAACTCAAATATAACTTTATTGGTTTTGTCAGGATAAGGTGCGAATAAAAGACGAATAGTTTCACTGTAATTTACTACAACAAAATATTTTTTAGCATGTTTACTTATTTAATTTAGTTTTTTGACCTGATAAAACTGGATTCTTCACTCAAGTTTTTTGAACTTTCAGGCTGAAAGTCGACTTTTAGCTCAGGTTAAACTTCTTCCGAAACTTAGCTTACCTGATGACCTGGCTCTACTCCAATCTGACGTCAATAAAGCACCCTCAGGGGAAACTCAAACTGACGAAGAAAAGAACAAATCCCTTTCCTTCAAGTTATCTTTTGACCCACAAACAGGTATCCTTCAGGCACCAGTTACAGTCAACGTTATTGGGCAAACTAACAAATTACAACTTATGATCGATGCTGTAATAACAACAACAGATCTATCACTTTCGCCTAACCCAATTAATTTTGGATGGACTGAAATTCATGAGACTGTGATATCTCGATTGTCAATAACAAATCATAGTTTATTACCTCAGAATTTCGGAATTGTTGAAATGCCAGAAGTAAGTAATCACGCATAATTCTTAAGTCTCTTACAACTTTACATTTTTTTTCTGATTTTATACAGTTGGATTTTTATACAACATCGGTATCTAACATGCAACTCCCATTACGTCTTCAGTGTATGCACCCTATTAGAAAGTGATTGTAGTAATGAATAACTACATGAATGAAAACCACATGACACACACACTAGCACTCAAAAGTAATAAGAGTTGAGGACCATGTATCATCTGACCGCTACTTTGCAGCTAAAGAGTAACATGAGACATATTTCAGCCGTACTTCACTTGACATTTGATCCTTATGAATAACAACATTTTTCTACTATTTTTCATCAATTAAACTATGCAACGACAATAAATGAAACAAAACATTGAGCAGAGAATATCCTTTTCGATAATTTCCTCCTCTGGCTCTACAATTATATATATGTTTATATACAAAGAATATTCTAGAATAGTAGTCAATAACAATATTGGGGTTTTTTTAAATAATATCAATTTGTTAAGTAAGATCAATGGAATTACAGTTCAAGAAAGACACTTAAGTTATAATAAGTATAAAAATGTAATAGCAAATAGAATATCAAATAAAATTAAGGAAATTTCCACAACAAACTGAGGATCATTAGAACCTTGATGTCAAGGTAAGGACAGTGTCTGAACAAACTTGTTTTGGATACATAAGTTAGGTATCTTAATGTGGATCCCAAAGGCTAGACAACTTTGATAGCCTCGTTACCATCTCCTTGTCTTCTGTATCCACGGGATGAGAGAGAATAAAGCCATGAATGCATTTTGTTTGTCTTTTACTTAACTACGCAGGATGATTATGTTCGGAAATCCGAAGATAAACAGGTCTAATTGTACGCCTATAAAACTGGCTCCGAATAAGCAGTCGAATTGGTAGATACAAATAGAATAGGCGAAATTACGCAGTTCATCTTTTACTTCTGAAGGCAAAAAGGAGTTGGTTTTGAGGACAGAGTAATTTAGCAGCACTGAATGCTCTTTATACCGTATTTCTAAGGCGTTGTGGTAATATCTTGCTGATGTCTTCCCCAAGGAACTAAAGTTGTAAGAATAAGGCCTTTTTCGGAACTGTCGGTACCTTAGGTAGCCTTGATTTTTGATGGGCCATACATTTTACATAGGCTGTATAATTCGGATGTGTTTCTCGTCAGGTTTTCGAACGTCATTATCCTTCGTGATTAAGCAAAGGACAAACAAAATCCATTCATAGCTCTATTCTATCTCATCTTGTGATTACAGAACACAACATTGATGTTAACGAGGCTTTCAAAGTCATTTACTGCATACCAGCTAGTTTTAACTTAACCTTAAGAGTTCGTCTACTACATATTGCTGAGGCTGTCTGTTGGGATTCACAGTAAGAAACCTAACGCATGCATCCAAAACAGGTCGGTTCAGGCAGTCCTTACCTTGGCCATCTAGGTTCTAGTGATCCTTAATTTGTTGTGGAAATTTCCTTAATTTTAGTTGATATTCCATTAGCTGTTATATTTATATGCCTAATATAATTTATGCATCTTTGATGAACTATAATTGCATTGATCTTACTTAGCAAATCGGTATTATTTAAAAAACACCAATATTGTTAATGACGACTATTCTAGAATATTCTTTGTATATAAACATGTTTATAATTGAAGAGCCAGAACTAGGAAATTATCCAAAGGGATATTCTTTGCTCATTTTTTTTAGTTTTTCTAGATGTCAGAATGAATATTTTTGGTATAATAAAAGAAACATTTCATTATACTAATTATTCAATAAATATTTTTCGTTGCGATAACAAATTAATAAATATAAGTGTAGTTTTGGCGTTAGTCTTTATCAAATTTTGAAGTTGCATATAAATCATACATGGTTTGTTTTTGCTGCAGTCTAATTTAACTATTACAAACATAAAATGCAATACTAAGAAAGATTTTACACTTAGTTTAAGAAGATAAAGAAGTAACATTAACTGATAAATAATTATTGGCTTTAAAAGAACAGAATGCTGGTCTGTTTCTCCCGATATAAATAGTAATATTTATAGAGTAGTAAAAGCACCATGAGAAGGTACACGTGAAACATTTCAATATAATATACGTTTACACCATAGTATATTCTGTGGTTGTATATATATGTGTGGGAATGTGTGCTGATTATACTGTGACTTGAAGTAATGAATGTTGAATAGTGTGTTTCAGCTGCTTCTCTTTCTCCTTCGTTACCCCACTGATTTATAACAAATGAACTTTTCTACCATTTCAGTTTGTTGAAGTTCAGCCAAACGATGGTTTCGGTGTTATACTTGGAAAGGAGACAATAGAACTTGATGTGTTATTTAGGCCGAAAAAAGCCAAAGAATATAATTTTAACTTGGTTTGTAAATCAGGTATTGGACGGTGAGTTTCATTGCAGAATGTATACCTGTTGAAATAAAACAAAATACATTGAAAAGCTCTTGGTTATAATAAAAAGACTTGTTATTGCATTGTGTTATTCGAAAATTCTGCCAAAACAAAAGTATCTGTACACTTATAAGTCTAAAAGACATTTATGTTGTTGAAATCTTTCACCATAGACTTATTGAAACCATTAAAAGTGGTCTCAAATAGTTAAGCGTTGTGTTTGTTCACTGATAATAAACAGCATGTATAGGCTGTAATTAATAAACCTCTTGAATTGATTATTCTACTTGAACCTTTAAAAAGAATCAGTCTTCAAATGAGTTGCAATGAGCACTCCTCTGAGAGTGCTATGGGGAAACAACGTCACAAATATGCACTTGTATTTTAAGTTGCAAATGTACTAAACAAGGTGGTGTAAATCTAATATATCACTTTGAGCAATAACTTTTTTCGACCCCTAACCTTCTATAAATCTGTTTTGCTGCGTGACCGATTCTTCGTTGAACATTCTTTGAAGATACCTACATGTCTTGGTTTCCTTTAAAATGCTGGAGTAGTCTAAAAAAATATATTTAACAATGCTATTGACAAATTAAAATTCATTTGATTGTATTACGCATCTATTTTGTTCAAGTTGATTTTGGTTTATCGCGTTGATTAATTGATGGCGGCCTGCTTAAATCACTGGGTTACCTAAATTTTCTCCCCCCCCCCCAAAATGCATCGTTTTACTCCGTATCATGTTGTTTAAATAATCTAATCACACAGCTGAAGAGGACAGAAGAGAATAGAACAAAGCGCAGATGTGTTGTTGAAGCCCTATGTTCCAAACAGAACCTAAGGGAATAATAATAAACCCTAAGGAGTCACAATTCATATTCGTGCACTATTTCAAATAAGTTTCTGCATACCCCTGATAATTTTTCGAAAGAAATGGAGGGAAAGCATTGTGAAGTAGTACTGAAGCAAGCTTCGGGTAGAACAGTATTGTCTCAGATGAAATATGATCGATTATTATTTTGTTTGAAGATTCTGCACAAGGAGTAAATGCCTTGCACTGAAACTCACTGAAAATTCTGTATTGTGTACAGATGCATTTTTAAGAATAAACTTATCATTACTAACTGAAATTTTTGGCTACTTTTGATATATCGGCTCCTAGCACAGACGCTTCGATGATTTCTGAGGACTAACACTGATGTTATTTGGTGGATGATGACTAGAAGTGAGATCCAGGATGAAAAAACAAAAATTGACATAAACAAAACAATAACTTAACCCCGATGCACAAGACGTGACTCTTTTGGCATATGAAATGTAGGGTACTAAGTTAGAATCTCACTGGGAACACCATCACTCACTGGAGATTGCAAGCACATTCAGACGATGAGTCTCAAATAAGATTAAGTGCTCACCCTGGGATCCACTGCTAGTCAACTTCCATCAAATAACATAAGTAATATGCGACTAGTCATTACATATGCTGACATGAAATATTTCAGAATCATTGAATATGCCTCCATTATGTTGCATACTGTTACAGTGTTCGTTATTATCTTTTAAGATGAAATGTCTTGTGGTAGAATAACAGCTTTGTGTTCTTGTCAAAGAAATTTTTGGACATTACTTCTAATAATCGACAAAACAAAAATATTCAACAGGTGAAAAATAGATGTGAGAGGAGTGAAATGAATAAAGAATAATTAATAATTATTGAAACTTGAATTAAAAAATAGACTTTTGTTTAACAAACTGTATGATCTCCTTGGTATGTTTATTAAAACTCTGTGTTTGTTTTGTTATAACTTTGAACAGTACTTTCACTACAGCATGTCAAGGTATAGGCGTTTATTCACCTTTAAGTTTATCTACTAATCAACTCAAATTGAACCCAACACCTATCAGTGAATCAAGTTTAATATCTTTGAAAATTACCAATCATCATACTTCATCTAATCCTTATACTCATGTACAACCATGTATTGGTTCAGATACAAAGCCAGTTTCAGTTGGACCAAGAGCATTTGAACTTCAAGTAGTCAAGGCTACAATAACTAACCCATATGGATTGGTTACAGACGATGATCTTGCAAATAATCAATTAGAGTCTGTTTTGTCAACATTTATTGATTTTTATCCAGCTACTGGAACTCTGAATCCGGGAGAAGTTAGTTTACGTTTTAAAAAAGTCTGTTTTGATTTTCTGGACAGCTGATTTTTCCACTACGATCAAAGTCTACCATTTGAGCATGTTCTGTTACTAATTACATAACTTTTATTCATTGATACAGGTTTTGTGTAAATCCTTACAGTAATACAGTGGTTAGCCATTAATTTATGATGTCCAATAGAAAAAACAGAGTTCAGCAGGATTAAAATTGGCGTTCAAATGTCATTTAGTTAATTTGCATACTACAATCTACTGTTATGACTGTTTTCATGCTATTTTTCCAAATGGTGTATCCTTCAAAGTACTTCATCAGATTATATACCCGTGGAGCTCCTTCGGTGGTTAAGCAGTAGAATGCTCGAAAACCAAACATGTGGTCCAGGGTTCCATCTCCTACAGGTAGTAAGCCCGCTGAAGAGGGAAGACTATGCGCGAGGCTGGCAACCCTTTCCCGTAAAAATAAAACCACCGCAACTGAAACTTTATAACTGAAGCTTGAGAATCTATGTCCCACTTGAAACACAAAGGGATAAAAATTTTTGAAAGGACAAATCAAGACTGTTTATTTGTGTTTGTATTGGTTGACCACAACTTAAGGCGATAGATAATGATAGCAAGTGCATTCATAAGGTTGGCTTTGTTCACGAGCTTCAGGGTCAAACCGGATACAATGCTGATAAGGTCGACCTCAAACGAGTGAAACGCCTGTATAGTGTTTGGATCGCTTCAGTGTGACTTACCGGCACCAGTGTTTGACGTAAAGGATATCCAGCAACTCATATCAGACATTAATATATGCCACCATTCAATTCGTTGTTTTCTTTATTATTATTCAGATGAACATAGAGAAAACAGAGGTGATGAAGATTTCTGGCCAAAAGCAACAACAACAGACAACAATCAGCATAAATGGGAGAAATCTGAAAGAAGCAACCTCCTTTACCTACATCTACCTGGGAAGTATCGTCTCAACTACAGGCGGATGGAACTGATGAGGATATCAGAGTGAGGATCGGCAAAGCAAGGCAAGCTTTCATTTCTCTCAAGTCTGTGTGGAGATCAAAAGCACTCAGCATGGAAAATAAGATCCGGATTTTCAACTCCAATGTGAAGTCAGTGCTACTATATAGATAAGGGACTTGGCGCGTCATGAAAAGTACCTCAAACAAACTACAGACATTCGCTCAATACTCAAGATCAAATGGCTAAAAATGATCAGCAACAGGGATCTCTGGGAGCGAACCAACCAAGAACCGATTGTGCAACAAATATGCAGGAAGAAATGGAGGTGGTTGGGCCAAACTATAAAAAAACCACCAAGTGACATCACACGACAGGCTCTCAAGTGTAACCTGAATGGTGAGTGGCGAGTTGGGCGTCAGTGCGAGGGTGACATGGAGGAGGTCATGTGAAGAGGAGATGAAAGCATGTAGTCAGACGTGGAGCCAGGTCAAAACGTTGGCAGAGAACCGAACGCAATGGAGAAGTGAGGCTGAAACACTATGTTCCTCTAGGAACTAAAGGAAACAATAATAATTATTATTAACATTTATAGTATCAAGGAGATCACACATTGTGATCAGAATATTTTTAGCCTCAAAAAGAAACGGTGATAAATTCTCATTTCAAGCTGTTTAATTTGGAAACTGAACTGGATTCAACATTTTGTATCTTTAAAGACAATTTAACACTTAGTAACATTTTCTTGGATTAAACGAAAAAACTACCCGAAATATGAAAAGTTCATGCTGAACAGTAACATTAAATCTTATCCCACCTATATTTATGGCTACAAAGTGATTTATTATTCACATGTGTGGCAAAATGATTTTTAATACTTGAGTCAACATATCACTTATAATTTTCTTTACAGAGTCAACAAATCAATATCCGATTTTCACCATGTTTAAATAAGTTGTGCATTCAAAAAGAAGCCAGCCGATTATGTGATTTAAATGAAGAAAAGCGTAAAAGAGATGAGTTATTATTATCTCTTGAAGAGGATAAAACTGGGAAGTCAAATAAGGTAAATAACTTTTTTCAGTGATTATTCCTACCTATTTCAGAAATCATTTTACGCGGTGCGTTTTAAAATTTTCAATGAATGTTTCCTACGCTGTACTGTGCAACGCTTTGTATGACAAGTTACGACAGACAGTTTCACATACTATATGTGGATATACACTTTAGGAGAAGACTTCTCCTAGACAGGTTATATGATAAGTGTTGGGGTGTTATAAAATTATACTCCAAAGGTAAATATACCGGAACCTCATGAAGAAGAAGTGAATTGACTGGACTGAAAGTGGGAGGCAAGTAACTATCTTTGAAGTAGACCGAAGTATTTTTTTCTATCCTCCCTTCACTCAACTTCTACTCAGTCTCCTATCTGAGTAGCTTTGTGTCATTTTCACTTTTATTCAGGAGAATCAACATGCACAATTCTTCAATTAAAATAAATTTTGGAACGTTTTTTTATCTACATAGTGTTCACCTTACACAATACACAATACGTGATGTCAACTTCTAAAAATAAGCCTTATATAAGTTCCTTCTGTGTATTATCCCACCAGATTTCTATCTGAATTATAATATTTTGTCCAATAACAAAACAATACATCTTGAACAGTCAGTTACAGTACTTTTTCAGCATTTAGTTTATCGAATTTAGAATACACCCTTCTTTAAATCACTGGTCGAAATTTCCTTTTGAACACATGCTTTAAGATTAGCCTTGTTCACCAGAATTCTCGTCTTCGATCTCATAAACTATGAGAATTATCATCAGAAATTGTAGCACTAGACTAATACTTTCTAAATTAAACTATCGATACCGCTGTGTGCGTGGAGTGTTTACCAACGTACCTGGCATCTTGATGTCAGCCGGTGGTAAGATAGAAGAGACATTCAAGGAGTAATAGCTCCTCCTGATGCTTTGTTATTATAACCAATCGTAGATGTCCTCAGTACCAGTGAATCCTAGACACATCTTTTAAGGTGAAGAACCACACATTATTGTCACATGTCCCATAATTCACTAGCAAAACATTCACCGAATTTACTGAAATACCCCAACTTGTGTTACGAGACACAGAATTTTTTAGTGTCACATCTATGTAATACTCTTCAATGCTTTACTTTCTGAAAACAATCCAGCCTACTCCAAAAACAAGTCAGAACACTGTCGTCAAAAAGGACAAGATAATTGATAAAAAAGCTGTGAAACCTTCAGATGAAAAGCCACCTCTCGAGACAGAAACAACTTTACTGCCAACTGATCCAAAATCTATTTTAGAAGGTAGTGAGAAATACCTTGATGGACTAAACTCTCTACTAACTCATTACCCAAATCCACCACCTGCTTTCAACAATAGCCAAGTGGAATTAAAAAAAGATGAAGTTGACCAACAGCATTCAGCAGTGAAGAATAAATTATCTTTAATCAAACTCGGTGAATATGATTGGCCAGGAGTATTCTTGGTATATCGTGTTGCTTGCTTTGTCGCAGAAGGACCTGGATCAGAGACAGCAGCTAAACCATCTCCTACATACAGGTAACTTGTTCATAGTAGTTATAGTTTCATAGCCTGTTTAACTTTCGTAACTTTTGTATTAATTGTACAAACTACCCTAGTTAGCGTATAGCAGAAGTAAAATGAGTGACGCATAATTTAAGTAAGTGCGTCGGTGTTTCATTGGTAGAATGCCTGCCAGTCGTGCACGCGGTCCGGTCTCGATTCCCGACAGTGCACTTCTAAATCTCGTTTGGTCAGTAATAAGATCGGTAGAGGGGGAAGATTGAGCGTTAGGCTAGCAACTCCATCCAATAAAAAGCATCAGTGCTACTGAAACCTCAAAATCAAGCTCGGAGCCTTATTTTCCATTTGGGACGTAAAGGAATCAGAATTTCTAAAAAATAGTTTACGTATGTATAAGAAAACCTATTTCTACCCATGCTTTGTCGAAATCTATGACATATCACGTATTTAACTGGCTATAAGTCATCAGATGTCCGTAAAATTATACATGAATCTTTGTTAGTTAATGTTTTAACAAAATACCTGGCGATTACTTACAATCTAATCATGTTTACTTGAATTCCTAGTAATGTTCATGCGGCTATATACACACTACAAAAGAAAAGTATAAACTCAGTAACGCACCTAAAAATAAATTAAAAATATCAACACATCGAGAGTAGGTACAAAATCTCAACATTTCATTTAATCTGTAAGATTATGTGTTGAAAAATTCCCTGAACAGATGACTTTACATGCTCCAAATTGCTTCATTACAGAAACAATATAAGATTTATAATGATCTAATCAGTTACATCTAATAATCGGAATAAAGTAACAAATACAGTTGCTTTACAGGATTTCATCATCACCTGACATCGGCTAGAGGACCACTGGAAAACCAGGGTGTACTGAACAGCTGTTCCGTCCTATTGCAAAACTCATCGGTAGTGCGCGCCTGCGAACCAATACTTGAATATCAGTCTGATGCTCACCAGCGACTGGCCCTATTCAGGTAGACAATTACGTGGGTTCTAGTGGGAGGACGTGACCAGTGGCGCACAGCAGGTTGAGTGTGAGGACAAATACTCGCCAGTGACATTGACTAATGGTCGCACTATATCGGGAAATGGTAGAAGTTGGAATTCATGGGCCATTGGATCGGGTCCCAGAAACTGAATGGTCTGCGAGCTCGCCTTGTAATCGGAGAGTCTTGAGTCTGAGCCCCGGTAGGTGCGTACTGCTGGAGGTTCACAAGCTGGGAAGAAACAGCTGCCCAGGACTCCCTGGTTTTCTAATGGTTCTCTACCCGATCTTAGCTCTTGATGAAATCTTGTTACCAATCAAATCAAATTCCTGCAAACAACACTTGAAAATCTCTTTTTGACTAATTTTTCTTCCGTTAGTGAACTAAGTGTAGTTTATTGACAGGATTTCTGCAAGCAATACATTACACTATTCCTCTGATACTTTTAAATTCTTAAGCTAATTGGACTGATAAATTTTTTTAAAGTAACTGTATTGTTAAATGTTCATTAAGGAAGATTTATTTTCAGTAAATTGAGTACCACCGTAGACACTATTGACAAAAATATTAGTGATTAGCTGTGTAATTTATTATCTCGGTGACTGTTTTATTAATATTTCATCTATGTACACGTTCTTATATAGTTAACAAAGCATGGAAGCTTTATGAATGTTTCAGAAAAACAAATATTTTCTGAATACGAAAGTACTAAGGTTGTGGTCTGATATAATAACCACCAAGCGAGAGGACAACATTGACATTTTAAAGTAAATGAAGGTTATAACTGTTGTACTAACAGGACACCTGAACACTATTTTTCTGCTATTACTCATCCAATAATTTAATTTCTCTTTTCTCTGGACTCTAAATATTTCAAGTGTTGATTTGAAGGGATATGATTGGTTGCCTGTTTGATCACCAGCTGATATCAGTTAGAAAGTACTGGACAGCTGTTTCGTCTTAGTTCGAGACTTTTCAGCCGTATGCCTCCAGTGGCTGGATGGTCTATAAGTTCACCTTGTGACCGGAAGGTCATGGGTTCGAACCCCACTGATGGGTGCGCACTGATGTAGAGTCGCAAACTAAGACGGAATAGCTGCTCAGCACTCCCTGGTTTTCCAAACGTTCTCTAACTGATTTTAACTCGTGATCAAACTAGTAATCTAAGTATTTCATTTTGGAATAATTCTACTTCCTAAAATAATTAGAAAGTGTAGAGACTTAAACCAATAGACAGTACAATCAAATCACTTCACTGGAGTTAATTCCTTCACTTTAAATCAACTATTTTCAATGAATCCCAGAAATGTGAAAGTGTACAAAAATGATTTCAAATTTAAATGCATATGTAATTTCTCACTTCCGGCTGAATTATTCTGGATAATTAGAACAATTTATTATTTAATTTAAAGCTTGAAATCATTTAATAAATATTTTGTCACGATAATGCAAATAATACCAAACTTCCCCCACTAGGTTTTTCCACACAGAACATAACGAACACAATGTACTTTAACCAGATCAGTAAAAGCCATTGATATATTCATTAGCCATTGAGATGAATTAATGAGGAGCACAGTGAAAATGCTATCACAAAGTTATTCAATTTAATTGGTTGGAGGATTTCATCATGAGCTGACATCAGTTAGGGAACCATTGGAAAACCTGGGAGTATTGGACAGCTGTTTCGCCCTAGTTTGGGACTCTCCATCAGTACGCACCCAGCATGGTTTGAATCCAGGACCTTCTGGTTACAAGGTGAGCTCGTAGAACATTAAGCCACTGGGACCCAACCCAATGACCAGCCCATGAATTCTAACTTCTACCAATTCAGTTTACTAACCATCAGTACCTGCATATTCGATTTTATAAGGTGAAATTAAGTATGATAATAAAAGACATTAATTCTTTTAGACATTCTGTCTCGATTTGTCTGGAAACTTGTATTTCTCTACTGATACAGTTGAAGATATCAGCTAAATGTATAGTGAAATAAGTTCATGTAGGACTAGAATTACTAATTTTCACAATTAACTTACAAAAATAGTTTCCATACTCGTCATAAAGTTATCGAATTTTGGAGATAATGTCTATATAAGTTTCCTGCGATAGTGCACCAAGTTTTACGAGAAACTAACGAATTTGACAGATGAAGACGTCAAAGCCAGGATATTGAAGGTCAGATAAACCTTCATTACTCTGAAATCAGTGTGGAAATCTACTGCACTAAGCATAAAGAATAAGATTCGAGTTTTCAAAACAAATCTGGAGTGAGTCCGTATATATGGTCCATAAACTTGAAATGTCGTCAAAAGCATTGCCAACAGGCTTCAGGCTATTGTCAACAGCTGCTGTTTTCCCCATACTGAGGATCAAATGGTCGGCCAGAAGGGATTAGCAGCAAGGAGCTTTGGCAGGCAATGAACCAACCAGAAATCTATTGCCCTATAAAAATACCGAAGAAAACGGAGATGAATCGGACACAATCTGTGGAGACGACTGAATGACATTGCTCACTCAAGCGGAACCCGAATGGGGAACGATCAGTTGTATGTGTAAAGGGAGAAGATAAGAGACTTGATAACGGACCTTTATTAAGAAAATATAAATCATATTTATACATTCTTAGCCACATTGAAGTTCGGCTAGGTCAAAGAAGAATAAATTGTTCTGAATGATTGGCAATTTGCCCAAAGTTGAGCAAGGCTATTCAACAAGGTAATTTCATGTCCACAACGTGGACTAAATCCAGATTCGCGTAACAAACACTAACACCTCTACATCTACTGACTTAAAATGCTGATTTCAATTTTGGAAGCTTCTTATCAATCGACATCATGCTACAGGTGTCTGAGGGTGATATGGAGAAACTCATGTGAGGTGGAAATGAAAGCTTGTGGGCAATCGTATGGCCGGCTTAAAGGAATTCAGAGGACACGGTAAGATGGAAATGTGCTGGTGAAGACCTATGTTCCGCTCAGAACCCAATGGAATATTAAGTGAGGTGTGGAATGCTCTCATAACATTAAAACAAGTATCAGAAATGAAAATATTTCCTTAAAATCACATTTAATAAGATCACTCATTCCCTAAGTGTGTGGTTTTTCAGGAAGCGGAAACTTATACGCTGTGGCATTGCTTTTTTCATGTCTAAGAGTTTCTGTTCAAAGAAAGGTAACATAGAAAGAAGAAATAAGGTAGATTCATTATTCCGTTCAAGCGTAATATATTGCTTAATTAGTAATGAATATCGTGTCCATGTTGAATTAACTAAACTTAATTAAAATAAAATAATTTTTTTCATACACAGGAAAGAGAATACTCTCTTCTTCGAATTATTATGTCCAATAATTAGACCTCCTTTACTTGTCCAATCGAATAAATGTTATAATCGTCTGAATTTTGGAGCTATCTGTGCTGGTCAACGTAATACTCGTACTTTATCACTCAAGAATATTAGTCCTTATTGTTTACAAGTAAGACAAATAAAATAATGTTTTGTTTTTCACTTTTTTTCAATAACGCCAATAACCTTTCACATGTAATTTAAGTAGTAAAGTAGTCAAAGCCGCACACATCTAAAGTTCATGTATGTTACTGTGATTAGGGGTGGTCAAACCAAAATCTAATACTAATTCATGAAGTCTTTGATAGTTGATGTAAGCCACTTGGGGAGGTAAAGACTGCCTGTTTGGAGTCCTTGGGATGACAAAAACCAGCGGATTAAAAGTGTTGGTGATATGACTCAAAGCGGTTCTCAGTGGAGAATATGCGTTCACTCTTTTTAATCTCCTTATGTTTTTCCATTTAACTATTCTTTCTCCCTCACATTTCTGCTTATCATAATTCTTTCGAATCCCTTATTTCGCAATTTGCTCCACCTTTTTGTGTCAAATCGAGTGTGGTAACTCTAACTGCTGCATTTCTGTGCAAAGTTCTAACTTGAAACTCAGCCAATCAGTCACTGTGGTGATCATTCCAACTTCTTCCAATGCACAATATAGCACGACCACTAGCCAATGTCATTGGCGAGCATTTGTCTTCACACTCAACCTGCTGCATGCCACTGGTCACATCCTCCCACTAGAACTCCAGGTAACTACCTACCTGAATAAGATCAGTAGCTAGTGGGCATCTCATTGATATTCAAGCATTGATTTGTAGGGCTTCGATTGATTGGTTACAGCATTTCATCATGAGCTGACATCGATCGGGCGTTAGGACAAATACTTGCCGAAGACAATGGCTAGTGGTCATGATATATTGTGAATTGGAAGAAGTTGAAATTCATGGTCCATTGGATCAGGTCCCAGAGAATGGACGGTCTAGGAGCTCGTCTAGTAACCAGAAGGTCCTGGGTTCAAGCCATTGTAGGTGCGTACTGTGACGAGTCCCAAACTAGGACGAGACAGCCATCCAGTAGTCCTAGCTGGTTTTCTACTGGTTCCCTAACCGATGTCAGTTCATGATGAAATCACGTAACCAATTAAATGAAATCCCTACAAATCAATATTTGAAGATAATATTATTATGCATTATATCGGTGTCAATCTAAGTTTCGTTCTAAAACAGTCAAATTAATTTTTTATGTTTAAAACAAATAATGAAATAAGGATGCTAGTTTGGATTCGTTTGCCTCAGAGAAAAGTTAATATGCTATTTGTCTGAAACCAGGGATAACCAACTCTATTTCCTACTCCCCATCGAGTGTAAAATAGAAAAATGCAAATATTTACATAGCCGATGAGTTTACAAAATTGATTATTTTGTTTCATAATTAATCTACTACTTTGATTGTCTAAATTTAAGGTCGAATAAAAGCTTTCTTTTCCTTTTTACAGTTGAAACCGAAACCTTTAAACCCGATCGGAGCATTTGAGATTATTAGTTTCAATGAAAATATCAATTCAGGTGAAGTATGCAATCTGAATTTTGCTTTTACGCCAAACTCACTGCAAACACACTGTACAGAAACCTTCGTCCTTCAGTCATACCCAATAAAAAATAAAATGTCAACCGTTAATTCAAGTGAATATTGTCCGTTAAGCGTGAGGTTTTCAGGCATCTGTGTGACACCAAAGTATGTTTAACTCAAGTTTCATATTTTTCCCAGTATGTCTTTTGTGAATCTTCTTTTTCAGAATTATTGATTACTAATATATGTTGTTTAGCTTATTCAATTTACATGTCTGTCAATTGTAATTCCAAACATTTATTTACATCAGAATAAAAGTTCTTGAATCTATGCTGTTGAAATTAAGCCATGGAGGACCAAATTCCATTACAGGTCTCCTTGATACTTATCCTTGAAGTAAATAGTTTATTATGTTAAATGTGGTAGGAAATGCACACTGACTGATCAATTGGCTACTGATTGAATAATTGCGACTGGTATAACTAGAGTAACGCATGGTTATAGCCTCTAAATGACGAAGCGGAGAACAACCTACCAAAGACAATACGTTTCCTTCTTCTTTGCATTGCAGAAGCATTAGGCATTCAGTTAGAAGAACCAGAACTATTCACACAGAAAATTATTCAACCACTTCTACTATCATGGTCACAACTCTGTCGATTTGACTTAACTTTTGCTTGTATGCTTATTTTTCTAACTACTTAAAACTCTTGCGTAATTCCGTATGTCATCTTGTTTCCATGTACACCCTGAGCACAACTCTTTCATTAAACTATTCATGTTATTATTTGACTCTTCTTTAACAATCATTTGTGACAACTCATCACTTTTGTTGCTACCCTCTTATATCAACATCCAATTCATCTGAACTTACTAAATGAATTTTCGTTTGGCAAATTTAATGTACACACACATACAAAACAACCATATATATTTGCGATTGTACAGCTATGAAAATGAATTCGCCGAAAAGAGACTCTTCGCTGTCTTACTGGTCTTCCGTCTAATAATGCTGTTCGGATGAGGATTTCTCATGAAAACTATTATATCACATCATAGATTGCTATACTACTTGAAGATCCTAGATGAAGAGAAAATAGAATGCAGTAAATTCCTCTAAGAATTCCGTACACTGTGTAAACACTTTGTCAAGAATGAAGCTGTTATTATTGCTATTATGCTGGGAATATATCGGCCTTTCTACAGAAGTACAAAATTTGGGTAAATTTCACTCTGAAACTTTACAGAATAAATAATGATAATACGGAATACAACAGTAATAATAATAAAGTGATTATTATTTGCCCAAATTTTGTACTTCTGTAGAAAGGCCGATATATTCCCAGCATAATAATAATAACAGCTTTATTCTGAACAAAATGTTTACATAATATACGGAATTATCAGTGTAATTTACTGCATTGCATTTTCTCTTCATACAACAGTAATGGAACACAAGATAGCTGTCTCGTTCTATTTTAGTACTCTCTGGTATTGCTCGCTAACCACTGAATCAGTAATCGAACCCAGAATCTTTGGGTTGCGAAGCCTGCTCATATACCACACTGGCCTTCATTTAGATGGCATTTTCATTGGACACTAGTAACTAGTGTGACGTGTCTAGTCCTTTCTTTGGCGCAGACTGAATGCTCTCAGTCAGGTTTGCAATGTAGCCACCATTCCAGGTAGCTCGCCATCATGGTGCACTTTGATTTGATGATATTAGATAGTTGGAGGCGATCGGCCTGAAGCCTTGCTTGAACTAGGTTTCGTGCTAGTTGGCACTCGTCAGCAAAGCTTATCTGCAGCCTTGAGGGAACTCATATCCCTCCTGACATTCGAACTCGCGTCACCCAATGAGAACTGTGGTCAGAGACGTTACCACTGAGCTATTCGGGCTCGCACCATGATGAAGAGCTACCTAGAATGGTGGTCACATTGCAAACTTGACTGGTAGAATTCATTATGCACCAAAGAAAGGACTAGACACGTCACACTAGTTACTAGTGTCCAATAAAAATACCCACTACAGTTCTACTAGAGGTCAATCGAGAGCTCAGTGGTAACGTCTCTGACCGCAGTTCTTATTGGGTGACGCGAGTTCGAATGTCAGAAGGGATATGAGTTCCTTCAAGGCTGCAGATACGCTTTGCTGACGAGTGCCAACTAGCACGAAACCTAGTTCAAGCAAGGCTTCCGGCCGATTGCCTCCAACTATCTAATATAGATGGCATTTGTTGATGGTGGCACTATATTATGAATCAACAGAAGTTATGATTTACAGGTAAGTGGATTCCAATCCAACAGTTATATCGTCAGTAGGATTCCCTGAAGACCACGGGTTCAACCCAGGATACCTTGCTTTGTATGACATTAACTCTAAACATTTAGTCAGTAAGAGGTAATCTCAACTCTTATTTATATTCATATTATTATTTACAATTTTGTAATGCTTTATTTGGGTTACACACCACTAGATTTAACCCAAAGCAAATAATAATATTTATTAGAACAAACCAATACAGATACCTGAAAAAGCTGAGATATTTAACAAGTGTTTTTGCTACATATTTTCAGGGTTGAAGTCACTGGTCCACCTGAACTTATAACTATTCCTTGTGGCTCACAAAATCCTGAGAATTCTAATATACCAGTCAACACAAAACAAACGCTTCATTATCTTCGTTTTGGTTATATTCTACTTGGAGAATTTATTGAACGATTAATAACTCTAACCAATCCTACAAATATAACTGTAAACTTTGAGATACTATATGATGATAATCAAATAGGCGGAACAAAAAACCAAAATGGATTGCCTGTATTCATGGTTGTACCGAATCAAGGGAAAATTAAACCAGGTATGGTGAACTGAGTTGTCGCGCTTTTATTTTTGTGGTACTTCTCATATTCAGAATGGTAATGTATTTAAAAACAATGAATGCATTACAATTATAATAGAGACGATTTGTAGCTCATTTGGAGGATTTGCAGTTAGTTGTGTTGTCTGAAGTGGTTGGTTTAATTGCGGAGCTTTCGTCGTCCTTCTGGACATTATCTTCAGCCACCGCAGGTTTTTAGCATAAAATGAACTCATTTGAGTTCTTCATGAATGACATGATCCTGGCAACCATCTTTGTGACTGGTAGTCGACTTACATCTGTATTGATCATTTTTTATTGACTTGGAATTTGAATTTTCTCTTCACGTGATTTAGTCTATGTTAATATGTTTGTTAATCGCTGATTCGCTGGAGTACCAGGTTTCTAGGAATTCTCTGGTACTTTTAGTGTTTCCTCTGTTTAAAATTTTGACACTGTCCCAATCAAATTGATGTGTATAATTATCTATATGCATTGATATGAAAGAATATGTATCATGTCTTTTCACAGCTAATTTGTGTTCCTGGATTCTGATTCTATGGGGACGCCCATTTTGGCCAATGTAATGTCTGTTACAGTTCACACAATTTATTTTGTAAATGGCATTAATTTTATCTTCTTTTTCTGTTGGATCTTTCGGTTTGCACATTATCGAATGAAGTGATTGTGCTGGCGAGCATGTGTGCTATATCTATTTCAAACGGTTTCAATATTCTAGCTGTTATTTCAGAGATAATTTTTATATACAGTAGAAAGAATATTTTTGTAGTCTTTGATGATGGTTTCTTGTTGGTGTTGTAACTCGATTTTAAACTCTTTTCGATGAAATTTTGAGGATATCATCACAATTTCTATCTGAAATTCCTAGAAGCCTGGTACTCAAGCTAATCAGAGATTAGCAAACATATTAATATAGACCAAATCTACCAACTAATAAAAAGTAAATCATGTGACAAGAAAGTTCAAATTCCAAGTCAATAAAAAATGATCAATACAGATGTAAATCGACTACCAGTCACAAAGATGGTTGCCAGGATACACAATTACATCATTGATGAAGAATTCAAATGAGTTCATTTTATGCTAAAACTTGCGCTGAAGATGTTGTCCAGAAGGACGACGAAAGCTTCGCAATTAAACCAACCAACTCAGAGAACACAACTAATTACATTACAATTATTTATATGTACATGTCGTACGTCAATTCTCACTTCTACTTCTAGAAATCAAGTCGTTTCAATCAAATCTTCATAGATAAAGTACCCCTTTTGAATTAGATATTCAAATATTGAAGGTTTATTTGAAATGGTGTCATTGTGAGAATTTAACAAACTTCAAAACATATTTCCTCATCAAGAATCATCAACAAGAAGTTACGCAGTAAAGTACATCTTTTCTTTCTTATTTGGAGAAATCTTATTAGCATGAACATACTATTCTACTTAAAAGTGAACTTAGGTTAGTCAGGTTTCCAGGCAAATATCTTCACTAGATTACTCAGATGCCATCCAGTATAGTTCGACTTGTTACATTTAATACTTGTTACGCTATATTGCTGCATCATTAGTCCTTGACACTTCAAACTGTATACATCAGTTTGAGTGTGTTTGTGGAAGTAAATACATAGGTCTTATGGAAACAAGAGTGAGTCGGTGGCATAGTGGTAAGGACGCTCGCTGACCATGCACATGGTCCGGGGTTTGATCCCCGGCCGACGCACTCCTTTACCTCGCTAAGCCAGAAATAATGCTGGTAAAGAGGAAAGGCTGGGCATGAGGCTAGCAACCCCATCCCGTAAAATAAGCACTGCTACAGAAACTTCAAGCCACTAGCTTGAAGCCCTATGTTCCACTGGGGAACGTGAAGGAAAAAAACGGAAACAAGATTGTCTGCTTGCACGATGACGCATTTACATAAGCAGTTGTAAAAAGCTGAAGTTAAAGTGGCAAGACTTTTAATAACAAAGCGTCTTATGCACTATGGACATGATATAGAAGCTTTCAAGTCATTCACTATTGTCAGCAGACAAAGAAACAGGACGATAATTGCATTTGCATAGGTTTGTGCAATAAGAGTTTATAAATCTGGTCTGTGTCTTCAGAAGGAAATAGTCATCACTCTAAATCTATCATGACAATATGTCTGACTTATTAACTGTTTTTACTAGTGCATACTGCCCATGATTCCCGAACTAGGATGAAACAGCTGCTGTCCAGTACTCCCTGGTTTTCAATGGTTCTCTATCTGATAGCAATCCGTGATCAACTCGTAAAAACATAACTAATCCTTACAAACCAAACTATAGAAAATTTATTAACTGTTATTATTATTTTTTTATTTCATCTCTTGTCATTATTATTATTCACTTAAAACTACACTTGGTCAGTATCACTACCTTAATCCGTCTCATTATTATTACTACTAATAAGTTTATTGTTTAGTTTGCTATTTTCGATGTATTCAAGTTCTTCTTCTGACAACTAATTGTTTATTTAAGTGATGTACATGAACCGTAATGCATTAGTATCTTGGTTTCAATCTATCAAACCCCCTTCCTCCATATCTAAAACTGGTCTAAGGAACATTCACACCTATCGTTTGGCAGGACTGACTTAATGTGATTTATTTACTTATCAGTCGTAGATCTCCTGGCGTATTTCTAATAGTATATATATATATCACTTTATGTAAAGTATTCAGGTGAAGAGTTCCTCAAAAATTTGATGAATTCATTAAGACCTGCTTTCCTAACATTTGTTGCTTTTTTCAAATTCATGTTGCGAAATAAATAATTCCATTTCTAATTCGAAGTTATTGAAAGCCATGTGCTAACAACTTAAAACTCAGTCAACGAATGATGGCGTGCCCGTCTTTAGAATAAAGGGTTCTTGATCTCAGCTCCAACATGATTGTGAATGCCTGTGCTGAGGAATCTTAAACAAGAACATAGGAGTTTCTTGGTACTCTTTGTTTACGAGGATTTACTGACTACATCAACTCTAACAATTTAATTCTGGCAGTTTTTATGTGAGGCATCATATTATTTACCTCCATAAAACCCTGGAAATCACTTTTTTAAATTAATTGTTAATACCCGTTTTCTTGAAACTATTTACAGCAATCTGACACTGTGTGAGACGAAATCGGTTTCTGTCAAAACATAGAAAAATTATGAAAGCTAAGTGATCAAAGTTAAATTAGGTTCTTGAAAGTCTTTTGGATATCATATCTCTTTCAGTTTTATTTCAGCTTCAAAACTATCACATTTTATAAATTATCACAACATAAAACCTAATTGTTACATTAAAGAGCCTTTGGATTACAATTTGTGTCTTAAAATCGCATTTTTTTATGTAAGATATTATAATCTCTACTTCTAAATCAAAAGGCCATCATTCTTCACCATATGGATAAAAGCTTTATGCAACATCCTTTATATTTGTATCATGTATTCTAATAGCTTAGTGTAAAATGTGTGGGATTTAATTCACAGCTCTGTTTGAACGATTATTAATTTCGAAATAACCCTAATAGACGTCCATATACTGTGGAATAGAAATTTTCTATACTTTTCGGTGAAGGTGAAAAATAAGCACCTAACAGACGTGAATGTACTAATGAACTAAGAACAGCTGGTCATAGCAAAGCATGGAAACCAGATAAATAACACTATATTCGTGTAAAGGATGTTGAAAGAAGTGTGAAGACATAAGAGGGGATACCTGGTTTTTCTAAGATTAGGCGAGAGAGAGGGAATATTGTTAGGTTTAGATTAGAGATAGGTTAGGGTTAAGTCAAGGAGATATTAGGGTAAGGGTTGGAGGAGGATAAGGATTAGGGTAGAATAGCTTAGAGTTATAGGTTAATTAGGGATTCAGATTCTCTTTTTAGAGCAACTGCTCGTTTACGATGATTGGTATCTTAACGCCTGTTGGTTGTCTACTCTTTAACTTTGCCTATTTCTCTAGTAATCCAATTCTTATTATTACTGTTCCTTTGGGTTTCGTATGGAACATAGGGTTTCAAAACACATCATCACTTTCTTCTATTTTCTGCTGCCCTCTTCAGCTGGGTCTACGATTGCCCATAGTCTCTCATCTCCTCCGTGTCACCGTTGCACTGACGACCCACTCATTGCTTCCCACTGGGATTCCACTCGAGTGACTACCGTCATTGAGCGCGATGTCATTCGATGGCCTCCCCAGAGTATGCCTAATCTATCTCTATTTTCTCCTACATAATGGTTGAATGATAAATTCTTGGTTAGTTTGCTCCCAGAGTTTCTTGTTGCTAATTATTTCTGGTCATCTAGTTCAAATATCTTATTAACTTGAGTGGCTTTAAATATTATTTCTTCGTATAACCATTTGTTAAAAGCATTATGTTGTCGAGGGGAAAACCAGTCTGTTTCGGCTTACTCTTACTTTTCTATGAATTATAGATAAAAACTCAAGAAGTATACATATAGGTTGAAAGGTATTACAAATATCCAACGTGTTTCATTTATTAATGCGAAGTTCCACACATTTCAGTATTAATAAGCAGATAGTTTCATCGATGAGCAACAAATTTTATAAGTATTTTGATAAGCATTTATTAAGATGAACTGCCTGTACTCAATGATGTGATAAGCATATATAAAACAGGTTATTTGCCATATTATATTTTCAGATTGGTAAAAATTAATTAAAACGTGAATATCTACTACTACGCAAAATTGACTGAATCAGAATCGCCCCCAAATGTCTCAGATTTAGCATTATCTGAGTACAATACTAAAAGAACAATGGCAGAGTATTAAGGATTAGGTGAATTGAAGCGTTTTAAGCAGAACATTTTTGCCTAAGCATCTCTTACTGTTATTTGCGTCCGTTACTAGGATTACATCTCTAAATAAGTGTGCACATATCCAATTTACTTATCTCTGCAAAGCACCACCGACATTTTAGCGTGAATGAATTTACTCACCTTGCTACAAA